TCAAAATCAAATGGCAAAATAAAATCCCAGATAATACTGTGGTTCTTGATAGATCAAACCTGCCGAGCATCCACACGATGCTGAAGAATTATCAGCTGCGTTGGGCTGGTCACCTGACTCGCATGCAGGACTATCGCCTCCCAAAGAGAGTATTTTATGGGGAGTTCCAGCAAGGAAAAAGGTTCCAGGGAGGGTATGGGGTCGGGGGGGGGGGGCGCTATAAATACACTCTAAAGGATGCTCTCAATTCTTTTGGCACCAACAAAACGACGTGGGAGTCTGCTGCACAAGACCGCTTTTGGTGGCGTACATCCCTCAGGCATGGTGCATCAACCTGCCAGGCAGCAGAGGTTTCACAAGCAGAGAAATGGAGGCAGACTAGAAAGAACAGAATTGCTAATCCAATACTTAGTGCGGCTTCCACCTGTTGTCCGCACTGCTCAAGAAGACTCCGAGCTCATATTGGACTAATCGGCCACGTTCGTACTCATAATCATTGATCATTACTACTTTGGAGTTTCCAGTTAGCACCAATTTTTTTAACATGAACTCTTTTTTTTTTAAAATTCATTTTAACGAAGCTTTACTGTATTTACAACTAATTACATGGTAATCTGGAGCTATTTTCATGGGGTGCTATTGTTCCCAGGCATGAAATCAACGTCAAGATCACTCAGTGTGCTACTGCAGACGAAGGAGATTGGAGTCAACTAATACTTTAGATGGTCATATGCAGGAAATGAATTGTAATCGTTATGTATTTGTATTGCCAGTTTCCCTCTTCTCATCACATGGACCCCCCCCCCCTTTTTTTCCCCCCCCCCCCCCCAGATAATGTTTGTAATAAGTTGTCTTCAAGCATCTACCTCTTTTAAAACATTTAGGTTGCTTTATATAGCTGCCCAAGGAAGTCTAAGCATTCTTCTATAAAATCACATCTTCAAGACCTCAAGAAATTGTTCGGTGTGTTTACTAATTGTCCAGGGTTCACGGTCATATGTTTAAAATGGCTCTATACAGCAAGCGATAATTCTTTTTATGGCTATCCTCCGAATAACGGACACAAAAGATGGCAGCCGCAAAAAAACATCAAAACAGAGCCTCAGTCACGTGTCAACTGAGCACTTTCGGCGACTTAATTTGCGGTTTTCCGGCAACTACCGCCACCGCCACTCATGCGGATTGGATTGGGGCTAAACTAGATGGCTAGGACTCACGAGCAGCAGCTTTCGCATTTTCTACAGCTTTGCGCGTGAGCGGCGTGGGGGACTCATGGCGGTGACGGTAGTCGCCGGAAAACCGCAAATTAAGTCGCCGAAAGTGCGTAATTGACACGTGACTGAGGCTTTGCTTTTTTGGCCGCCATCTTTTGTGCCTGTTATTCGGAGGATAGCCCTTCTTATAACCTCCAATGACATGGATTTATTGCATAAAGTGTTTTTCGTTTTATAAAATGCAGCCTAAGCTGTATTATTCCGTTTCTAATTTCTGTTACACATCTTCCGTTGGATGTTGTCCATGTGCCTAGATACTAAAATTTATGTACGTGTTCTAAAATATGACCTTTATTATACATGTAGGTATAATTCTTGTCTTTGATATACCTATTATTTCTGTCTTCTCATTATTTAAGCTAAGGCTCATTTTATCTCTTTCTACCACCATCATACCTATCAATCCCTTCAGTTATTTCTGATTTGTTACCATGAAGACAGTGTCAGCAGCACAACATAGGCTGTTTATGTTATGACCACCAACCACAATATTTTAGTATTAATCTAGTCATCTCTTTCAGGGATGCCATTTTTAGTTATTTGAAGCCCTACTCTGGCTCTTGCCAGGGGTCGCAATACAGCCCGGCCATAAATATGGTCTAATGGCTGAACGCGGTTTATGGGACCTCTCCACGGGTGATCCTCATTTACATGGTGGCACTTTGTTTCATCGGGTGTTTATCGCTTGTGTTATGTCCTGGTGGGGTAAAAGAAGATAGATAGAAGACCAACCACAATTCCTGGCATATCAATGGTCGATCTCCTTATATATTACCTTCAGATTAAAAATACAAAGAAGTATGACAAGCTTGTGACAGATGACTGAAACAGTTTTGAGGATCCTTCTAAAATCTCTGGCATGTGGAGTTCTGGTTGCTTACTATTTAAAAAAATAACTCCAATACTCTAATGATCCCATGCCAGTCTATTGGTTTAGTTCTTTCATTCCAGGCTTATATTTAGGAAAGCCTGGAATGAAAGAACTGTACCAATAGACTGACAAAGAGCCATTATAGTACCAATATGGAAAAGAAAAGTCAATAAACAAGATTCTAACCAGTACCGTCGGTAGTCCTACCGATGGTCCTGTTATAATCCTTATAGAGAGAGGCCTCTCCCTTTTAAGCCACGTAGGTAAAATGTTTGCCAAGATTCTGGAACAAAGAATAAGATCTGTTGTAGAACCGTTTCTGAGCCCAGCACAGGTTGGATTCAGGAAAGAAAGAGGGTGTAATGACGCTATTTTCACCCTAAGGCAAATTAGGGAAAAGACAATAGAACACTGACACCAAATTAACATCGCTTTTATAGATCAAGAAACGGCTTTTGACAGATTGAACAGAGATTTACTATGGGATGTCATTGAAATGTATGGTATAAATGGAACAATGCTAGATTGTGTAAGAGCTATTTATAGAGAAAGTAAAAGCACCGCCAGAACAAGAGCTAGCCTCACAGACTGGCTTACAGAATGAAGTCATGCGGGTAATTCTGGGATGTACAAGAGATATCCCAGTATATATGCGATATGTACTTGCAATGCCTACTATTGCAGATAGGCTCAAAGTTCTGTAAGCAAAGTCATATCTCAGAGTAGCTGCAGACAAGAAGCACTTCTTTCATGAAGCCCTGGGTAGATTTAAGGGCCACCGACTGAAAAGAGGAAGGTCTTATATTGCACAAGCTGAAGACTAAATCAGACTTGTGTGCAGGCTTGATAAATTTGGGCCAGGTGAGGAGCGGGTCAAGGTGTCCGAGCAAGTTTAAGACTTGTGCAGGGTTCTTATCACTTTGGGTCGTAAGTGCAGGGACTGACCAGCTTGCGCTGCAGAATCAGAAGTTCAACAAATGATTCATGACAATTCTCGCCCAAGTGATGTGATTATCTATACATATGACTCTGTGTTTTTTCTTCTGCGTTCGACATCAGTCATGCTACACACTGAGTCCCGTCTGGGTCAAAAATAGGATTGTGCGTTTAAGGTCGCCACCGGTCCCCCATAGCTTCTCTCGCAATGTGGACCCCTGGGCCAGATCCACAGTCTTTGCTGGGAGAGGTTAGGGCAGTACTGCAGTATGTGCTCAGGGGTCTGTCTTTTTGCTCCACAATCACAGGCAGCAGATTCTTTTATGCCTATCCTGTACAGGTGTGCTCAAAGACCACAGTGTCCAGTCCGAAGTCTAAAAATTGATGTTTGTTCTTTCCTGTTGAGTTTGTTTATATGAGTCTGTGTTGAGGGGCAGACGAAGTGCGTGGGGGTTTATAGCAAAGGCGAATGGGCATCGCTTAGTGCAACAAAGCCGGGCCCTCTGAGAGCGATTTAACAGTGTGGAAGCGCAAATAGATCATACGGTCTGAGGACAATGGTGCTGCGAGGAGTAACCAGGGTATCTGGCCGACGCTCAGCAAGGGAAGGGCTAGACGGATATAGAATCATACAGTTACTGGTGCCATCGGAATTGGTTTGCTGCTGAAGATAACGACGGAGCGCTTACAGTGGTGTCGCGAGTGCTATGATGTCGATTTTTATTTTAATATTCAACAAGATTGGTAGCATACAGGGCATCACAGGGAGAAATGTTAAACAGATACAAGGGTAACAGACCAGAGGTCGACCACGCAGAATATGGACGGCAGAAATATCAGACACTGAAAAGTATTTATATGAAGCGAAAGGGCCTGTTCTATAGACCTCTCCCTGCCCTGACGCCGCGAGGCATTCCTGGAGTAGAGAAAGAAAATGACACGCTTGCAGTGCCGGTTGCGGGGGGAAAAGAAGTTATGCCAATCATCACCTAATTGGGTACACTGAGAATGGAAACACTGAGACGGCTTCTGCATTGGAGAGCGGAGCACGAATGCGTCGGACAGATCTGCTAGGATGCTGATACGGACAATCAACTCTCCGTGCTTGGAGGTTCGTAGCGAAAGCCAATGGAAAATCTTTAGTGCAAGACAGCCTAGCATACGACATCACAACATCTAGCATGCGAATGAAGGTGAAGGCGGTTACTGCAGCTTTCCTGTGGCTAGAGAACAAGATGCATACACATGTCGTAAGTGTAACAGACTCTGGAGGCATGCTGAGAAAGGTGAAGACGGGGATGCTTCGAGCAGAGCGGCAAACTTCACAGGAAAGGTCACAGGTAGTGGGCATACTTTGGATCTTTTCGTCAGGCAATAACGGCGTAGTGGGTAATGAACAGGTAGACCGATTGGCTGGATCTGCACCACTGGGTGGTGAGCTGATACATGACAAGGCAGATGTGGTCAAGGTCCTTAGGGAACAAGCAACGGAATCAGTAGAGAAAGAAGATTATTATAGCCTGGAGAGAATGAGGTACCTGGGTGTAACCAGAGGGTCCGGCCGGCTCACTACACCAAGAGGAAAGACAAGACGGACATATAACAAGATTGTGACCGGTACCATCAGTATTGAAACTCTGCGCTGGCTGCTGAAGATGAGGACGGAACACGTATAGAAATGCCACGAGTGCTGTGATGTCAATACTTGACTCAACTCTCCGTGTTTGAAAACGAATTTTGTGGCATTTAGGAATTTATATTGAAAAGTATATTTGTCAACAAACACACACTTCCGGATTACATTTATTTTAAGATGGCCACAGGTGGAATTAAAAATACGACTTAAAATGTTGTAATTTGTTCATAGCGTAGTGTTATCTGTAGACACAATAACATTTGCCCTATTTAATTTATTTGTGATGCCATCTGACTCTCCGAAAATGTTTAATAAACCCAAAAGCTGGCTTTCTGGAACGTTATGGAGGCCCAAAAACCCACATTCCCTGGAACACCTCAAGTAAGCTATCTTCGATTTTTCAGTAATAATGCTCTTATTGTCATGGTCACTTTTGTTTGTGATTCCTGTCCTAATTAATGTTACCTTCATTGTAAGCATCATCATCATAAGTGCTTTTCTGACAAGGGTAGTAGTAATGCTGCCTCACATCTAGCGTTTGTTGTGCTGCAGCAAAGCCTGTCCCACTAGCACTGTTTACTGCCACGCCTTTTTTTTTTGGATAATCATGACTGCTACAGAACGTAACAGTACAAGTCTTAAAGCTGTTAATAATCTGTGTTTTCCCTTCCTCTATTTTATCTCTATCAAACGTTTCAGTTGTTACATGCTCCCGTACTTCTATTTATGTAGTGTGGTTAGCAAATGTTGACCACTTTTTTATGATCCGTTTGACGTTACTACGTAGGGTATTACAGAACATTTATTAATTATAATTGATATTTCTCCTGTCTTTATCTACCATTTTTGAAAATGAGGCACTCTTCCGAATACCGGTCCCAAATTATTCACTGCCGAAAAACATCCCTCAGGAGGTTATGTAGTAAAACTGTTTAGGCCATCATGATCAGTTTCCACTTGTGCCGTTATTGCTCGCTGGATATCAATGTTTAGACGTTAAGTTAAGCGGCGTGGGGAGGAATCGTTTTCGATCCATTGAAGCGACATGGAAAAGAATAGATTTAGATCCATTGTTTAAGCGTCTTGGGGAGGAGTAGAGTTCCATCCATTTAAGCGACGTGAATGATTTTTGATCCATTGTTTACATTACCCATTACTGCCCTTGCGGGGATCCAATGCCAAATATTTTAGGGGAAAGAAAAAATGTATCCACTGCCACATAAAAATTATAAAAGGCGACTAATTATGACTGCTGAAATCGGATGCTTTGGAGCAAAGGGCGCAGATATCGCAGCCTAGCTGTAAACCACAACACAACGTGAGAACCATTCTTTCAAGGGCGAACGAAAAGAACGAAGTTTACCTACCCGTGACATTATCATTGAACATCTCGCCGCCGCTATCGCAGCCTAGCTGTGAACCACTAGAACAAGCGAGAGGCGCATATTTCGCAGCCTAGCTGTAAACCACAACACAACGTGCCAACCGCCCTGTTAAGGGTTAGAAAATGATCTCCTGAGGCCCTGAATAGGATTTTTTAACGGTGAATAATTTGGGACCGGTATTCGGAAGAGTGCCTGAAAATGATTTTCCTTTAAAAGTGGAAAGTTTTCACACATTCCATTACGTTTTTTCAAATCAGTCATCAGTCTGGACGTTTTTTCAAACAACCTGGGACATTTTCCCAATAAAACTGAATTATTTTTATAAAATAATTAAAAAATCATCCAGTTTGATTTGAAAATATTGTCCAGGTTGGTTTTTGAAAATCATCTAGTGTGTTTGAAAAATGTCCCAGATGGCTTGAACATTGCTGATTTGAAAAATGTCCAGTGTAAGTGAAAATGGTATATAAAGAGTTTTAGGCTTTCTTATGTATATCAACAAGGCTTCAGTGACTTGCTGATTTAGGACTTGTTCAGGATTCACAATTATGTTTCAAAGTTAGCTCTATGTGGCATATAAGTATTCAATACCTTACTGATCTTTAGTAACAGAGATTTCATTAACTGCATAAGATTACCTTCATTTGATAAAATATGTCCTGTTCTTCTCTTTATCTCTGTGTTGTATCTTCCTTATATTTAGTATTATCTCTTTGTCTAGATTTTCTAGCTGCTGAAAATTTTGTTAGTTGTTATTATGTCACTCAGACAAAAAAGAATATTTTCAGTTTTTAAACATGGTTCTCAAAAAAATTGAAATTATATTTAGTTATTGTAGAATAAAAACTGTTAAAAAAAAAAAAAACCAGTTAAATTAACTCTAAAAGGATGTGAAAATTTTGTGCAGAATTTTATGTCCGTAAATGTAATGTAGGTATTAAATTATTATTCCTTTTGAACTGGCAATAGATCTTTTCTTCTTCACTCATGCAACTTTTTTGTTTTGCATGTGCCTTTTTACAGTATAGCTGTAATATTTCTGCATTTCAACTAACACATATTACCAGATAGACAGACTGACTATTTTCAGCCTTGGCAAGTTATTTCCTTCTAGCTGCACTTAGCTTTGTATTCCCCCCATACATAGACTGAAAGTTTAAAGTTCTGCCATCCAGCTACTGATTTAAGTGCATGGCATGATACTGTGAGCTATGGATTTCATTTGGAAGATGTTTCGACGATATATTCTGTTTCACTTTTGTACACAATGTACAGTGATTAGCATTTTATGTGGTTTTTTTGGCTGGCAGAGAAACAGAGCAACTAAAGAGTGACCCATTTGCAATGAAGTGGAACTGCAATTAACTGTCAATTAATAATTGTTAAATGTTGTTGAATTACAAATCAACATCATACCACTCGAGACACTCCCATAAACGCTCTGACCCCATCTTCAGCAGCAAACAAAGAGTTCCAATCCTACTAGTCAACTAATAACTTAGATAGCCATATGTTGGAAAGGAATTGTAATTGTTATGTTTTTGTATCCTTGTGACTTACATTTTATAATTGTTTTTCCAAAATAGATTCCTGTATAATCTTCTGTGTAAAAACCAGACAGTCACAGAGCAGAACCGAGGCCTCCTAGTTGAGACACTTCGATCTATCTCAGAAATCCTGATCTGGGGTGACCAGAATGATAGCAGTGTTTTTGAGTATGTTCACCTGGTTTCTCAGTTTGTTGTTGATAATTAAGTTTATATACTTTTACAGAATATAGAATCACATTGGCATTTAGTGCGTTTAACAGACTGCCAAACATCTGAAAGTCAAAGACGCTCAGCAAACGCACAAAACTTACCTTCAACTCTTGTGTGATTTCAGTGATAATTTATGAATGCAAGAGTTGTAAAGCAACAGTAGCTCTAGATTAAAAAATTTAGACAATTTTGAGAACAAATATTTTAGAAGAATACTAAATCTCCACTGGACAGATTTCAGATTCAGTACGCAAACAAGACGAGAGACAAAGCAAGATAATTTATCCAGTTTGATAAGAATGCGCCACTGGAACTAAATCAACCATGGACTCGGAATAGATAGGACAAGACTTCCTCATCAAGCCCTCATGTAGACACCGGAAGGTTAAAAAAAAAAGGGGGAGGGGGAGACCAAGAGAGACTTGTGTAGAACCATTATCAGGCAAGGCTTAACCATTGGCCCAACTAACATCCAAGACCTAAAGCAGGTGGCAACGAACTGCCAGACACAGAGAGCCAGAGCTAAGACCTCTGCCATATGCGCTGCCCTAGGCTCAAGATTTGATTTTGATTTGATTCAAGAACCGTCATCACAGCACTCGGGGCATTCCCATAAGTGCTCCGTCCCCATCTTCAGCAGCCAGCGAAGAGTTCCGATACTAATGGTGCTAGTAGCTTTCTGATTAAACGTCCGTCCTGCCTTTCCTCTGATCCTTGAGCTTCTGCCAGAACCTCTCATCACCCCCAACTGCATCAATCTCACCAAACTGTGGTGATCCATCTGCTCCTCCGAATTGTACACGCTCTCCCACAAGGCACTAACCACGTCTGCCCTATCATGTAGCAGTATTCCACCAAGTTGTGCAGAGCCAGCCAGTCTGTCCGCCTGTTCATTTCCCAACACACCGGCGTAACCCGGTGAAAAAATCCAGACAATACTCCTCACTCGTGTCCTCCGCAGCGAAGTATGCCACTCTCCACGAAGCATACCTGTTCTGATCTTCCTCAGCATGCTTTCTGAATCAGTTACAATTACAATGTGTGTGTGTGTGTCGTGTTCTCTAGCCAGCGGAAAGCTGCAGTGACCACCTCCACCTCCATTCTTAAGCTGGATGTTGCGGTATCATATGCTAGGCTCTCCTGCACCAAACGTCGACCATTAACTTTTGCCAAAAAGCCCCAAGCACTTCTTTTGCCTCTTGACACTGAACCATCTGTGTAAATAATCAAATCCTCTGAGCGAGCATCATCTTGAATTAATTGCGGAATTTCCACCTCAGTGGCACCTGCTGGCCAGTCTCTGCATTCCCGGCTCAGCGTGATTATGACTCTACACAAGTCTGACTGCTCAGGTGGCACTTTGACCCACTCCTCTCCTCGCCTAATGTTCTCAAGGATGCAAACCTGTCTGATTGTGTCTTCTGCCTGAGCAATGTGTCAATTGCAGAGCACGTGCCCTGTAGCTCCGGCCCTAGGCTCAAGAGGAAAGACTATCTAACTTCTACAATGTTAGTAAAAAAAATAATGTCTGAAAACTTTACAGGACAAGCTGATTGACGAACACTAAGAAGAAGATAAAGATCTATAAAAATATGTGTCTGGCTGGGTTCAATCAGAGCTGTGTATGATTTGTCTTCCATTGGTTTCGATTCTGCCTAGTAAAACTACAACAGTCAAAAAATGCTGGGATTGGTTCTGCAGCATTTTGTAAAGGATACACAACTAACTTCAAAAAAAAAACTATTCTCATGTGTCAGATGCACCACTGGTGTATAAAGAGACCTAAAAGCAAATCGACCATTCACCCTTCACAGGTTTTGACACTGAAATATTGGCCTGACATGATATCTTAAGCCAAGGACTTTTTTGTAATGTGTGACCGTATAGGCATTTATGTTGTTTTATGCAGTGCTACAGTATTAGACACTTTACACCACTTTCTTAGACACTTTATTGGGAGTACCAGCACCTTTTATCTCTAGAAATGAAGCCCTCTCTCATGCTTACCTTGAACAGCTAGTAAAGAGATTTCCCTTGTTTAATTGAACTAGATCATCAATACAACCTTGTGCTGATTGGTTTATGAAAATTTTATTCTAGCATCATATGACCTGTACAACACAGGCATAAAAAGGGGTTCAAAAGAACACTACCATCATCAAATGCATAACACAAATTATTATTTTCATGTTTGTTGCTGTGGTAAATTGCCAACGTATAATTAACTTTTAATTATTATTTTGGTGTTAACTGGTATTTCAGTAATAAAATAATTGTTGTTGTATTGTGACAGTTTCTTTCTGGAGAAGAATATGCTTTCCTTCTTCTTGCGCTACTTGCAACAGAAGTTTGGGCGCTACATTTGTGTACAGTTGCTGCAGACCCTCAACATTCTGTTTGAAAACATCAGCAATGAAACCTCCCTGTGTAAGTGTGTCATCGTTTGTGTTTTGAGAGAGCTGCAGTGGCAGTAATGGCTAGATGCTTGTCTGCTGACCTCAAGGTCTTGAATTCAAAGCTGCATCGAATACACATTTTTTTTTTGGATATTAAATTTTCTCCCAGGCCAGCTAAGCCTAAAATGGGTACCAGGTAAATGTATGGTAAGTAAAGGCAGGCAGCCTAGTGTTGACCACATCACCCATAAAGTGCTGATTGGTCTACAGAATATTAATCCAGCATATAATCAGAAACTATTTAAATATTATCTTACTACGGACTGCATGCCTCCTCAACAGATCATAGTATACTAAGCATATAGCATGTTTCCCTTATTTTTTTACTAAGAATTATTATGGCTGAAAAATGTAGGGCACATCCCAGCATTGTAATTAAGACTAAGTTGTTGAAAATGTTTATTATTAATATTGTTACCTATGAAATGATGTATGTATAAATGAATAACTATGCATGAAGTAAGACTGAAGGGCAGAATGTTAGATGGGCCTGATAGTTGTGTAGGAAAATTGATGGAGAAATTAGTAAATAAAAGACTAATATGGTTCTTGGAAACAAACTCGGTAATCACCACCACGCAGACAGGATACAGACAGCACAGAAATACAGAGGACCAGTTGACATATCTGACACAGGAAATTGAGAATGCCTTCCAGGAAACAAAGAAAGTTCTTGCTGTCTTTTTTGACCTCTCTCGTGCTTTTGATACAGTTTGGAAAGAAGGCCTACAACTAAAACTGCTACAGGCAGGAGTTGTGCACAACATGTACAAGTGGATCAAAGACATTCTTTTCCAACGCAGAGCCAGATTCAGAATTGATGGACACATCGGCAAACTGGCAAAACTAAGAGAAGGAGTTTCCCCAGGGCAGTGCTATATCACCAACTCTGTTCCTGGTTTACATTAATGATATCACAGCAACCTGCCACCAGCACGTTTTTAATACCCTACATGCCGATGACTTTGCAGTTTGGACAGCCTCCGAATACACTACCACAGCCTCATATCTGTTACAAAAAACTGTGGAAAATGTAGAAGCCTGGACCGAAAAGTGGGGTCTAAAGCTAAATAAATCAAAAAGCACAGCATCACTTTTCTCTCTCTCCCCAAAAAAAGAAAAAATCGAAATTTGGATTAAAAACCAGCTCATTCCACAGACTGAAACTCCTACCTTTCTGGGCGTTACACTTGATTCGCAACTAACTTGGAAGTAACATGTAGAAGCAGTACAGGGAAAAGCATTCAAGAAGCTTGCAGTTATGAAAAAATTAGCGGGTACCACATGGGGCGCTAACTCTAGAATCCTAAAACAAGTATATACTGGAGCAGTCAGGCCAGTCATGGAATATGCCTCCACTGCATGGGCTGCAGCAGCCAAGACAACAATGGGAAAACTGGACAAGGTTCAGAATATGGGATTAAGGATTGTTCTCGGAGCCATGAAAACCACCCCCATCAGAGAAATAGAAAAGATAGCAGATACTGAACCACTCAAACTCAGAAGACAATACAAAACTCTTTTACAGTATGAGAAATTAAAAAGACTTCAAAGTCACCCACTGCATTTTAAATTTCAAGAGAGAACAAAAAACAGACTGAAGCGTCAGAGCCCCAACCACCTTGCTAGAGAACTGTACAGACAGCACCAAGATCTGCTTGAAAGAGATGTTGCACTGTGCGAAAAACTTAGGCCAAAACCATGGACAAGCAAGCCAGAGAAAGCAAATGTAGTCCTAAAGGTACCAGGAATCACTTCAAAAGATGCCCAGACGGAGACACAACAGAGAACCCTGGCTCTTGCTATGCTTGATGAGAAGTATCCAAACACTACTTGGACTCAGGTTTTCACCGACGGCTCTGCTACAGATGCAGTCAGAAAGGGGGGTTGTGGAATTTACATTAAACCCCCTAGCAGTAGAGCAGAAACTCTCTCTCTACCAGCAGGTGACATCTGCACTAACTTCAGAGCTGAGGCAACTGCTCTCCTCTCTGCAGTCCAACATCTCATCACTCAAGAACACAGAGGGCACCAAATTGTTAAACTTAGCGACTCATTGTCTGTTCTCCAAGCACTATCCAGCAAAAAACAAGACAAAATAATTGCTGATCTAAGGACCAACATTGGCTTACTCTCCAAGGAAGCAGAACTGGTCTTGCAGTGGATACCAGCCCACTGTGGTATTCAAGGAAATGAAAGAGCAGATGAGTTGGCAAAAGCTGGGAGTAATCTTCCACAACCTCATCCACCACACAGCTACAAGGAAACCAAAACAGCGCTAAAGCAGTCTTTCAAGCGGGAGTGGAGAAGGCAGAATTGAGATTACAGACCAGAGAGTGACAGCATAAACAAACTCAACAGGAAAGAACAAACATCAATTTTTAGACTTCGGACTGGACACTTTGGTCTTCGAGCACACTTGTACAGGATAGGCATAAAAGAATCTGCTGCCTGTGATTGTGGAGCAGAAAGACAAACCCCTGAACACATACTGCAGTACTGCCCTTACCTCTCCCAGCAAAGACTGGATCTGGCCCAAAGGAGCCACATTGCAAGAGAAGCTATGGGGGACCGGTGGCGACCTTAAACGCACAATCCTATTTGTGACCCAGACGGGACTCAATGTTTAGCATGACTGATATCGAACGCAGAAGAAGAAGAAGAAGATGGGCCTGAATGCCAAATTCTTAACCGTTTGAAAGTAATGTTGGTTCATTTGTTCGTTCTCTTGTTTAAGTATAATGGAAGACAAAGCAAATTTCTAAAAAATATTACACATTTCAAAACCAAGGTTTTGACCTAAACTTATTACAGACTCTATACTTAGTATTACTGCTTAAGTATGAAAGTACATGATGCAGGAGAGCTGGCCAGAGACCGAGTTTCTTTCAGGCAGACCACGATGAGAGCGACATTCTGCAAAGGACCTGCTACATGATATTATTGCTAAAAATTTTTTTTGCATAATTAGAACTTTTATCATTATCAATAATATCATTAAAAATTCGTGTGGTATTATCTATTAAATGATATATGAATGCAAAAAAGGCAGTGATTCCCAAACTGTATGCCCCGGTGGAGCCGCGACCTCTTCAAATATTGTATAAGCTTCATGATTAGTTTAACCAAGACACAAATAGTTAGACTTTTACTTAGGTTAGGGCGCCATACATGGGAAGAGAAGAAGGACGTAGAGCACGGGGTAGACCAAGAACAAGATGGAAGGATAACATCAGAGAAACTCTACAACAGCACGATGTGCCTATGGTCGAGGCAGCCAGAAGAGCTAGAAACAGAACCTTATATCTCCCTCGACACCCACAGCGGTAAAAGAGGAAGTGAAGAAGAAGAAGAAGGGCGCCATAAAAAAATTTTAATTAAAAAAAGGCGCTGCGACCAAGAAAAGTGTGGGAGACACTGCACTAGGTATAAAAGGAGTGAGGTCAAAAGGCAGAATGTAAGATAGGCCTGTATGCCCAGTTCTTATTTTCACGTATTTAGAGTATAACTGCCTGTTGCAATTTCAATGTAACATCTCTCTGTGATAGAAGACAGCAGGAGCATTATATTAGCTTTGGAATGTCCAAGAAACATTTGGTGACTTGCTTGGTACCAAAAGAGTTAACTTTTTCAGCAGCATCTACGTTGGGATTGTCTTATTTTTACCTTTGCATAATCTTTGTCTGCAGATTACCTGCTGTCCAACAACCACATAAACTCTATAATTGTCCACAAGTTTGACTTTTCCGATGAAGAAGTAAGTTTGCCAAAACAGATGAGAAATTAATTACTATATTATCTTTTTAGACTTTATCTAATTGTTTTTCCCAACAAATATCTCACCTATTTCAAACTAATGTCGTCACTTATTTCAAACCATGACAGGTAGAATTCCAGTATCAAAACACACATATCATAAACATTTCAGCTAAATCGGTTTAGTACTTTCCGAGTCTATAGGTAATAAACAAACACACAAACATTGATTTTTATGTATATGGAGGGGGCATCGCAAGTAGACCCAGCCTAAAATGGGTAGCAGGATGTATGTCCTGGGGAAGCAAAGACGGCTGACGTAATGCTGACCACATTACCCACCTATTGCCGATTGGTCTATATAAATACGAGTGCTCTTTCCGTTTGCCTGAAGCACCTTAAAGCGTGAAAAGGGATCTTTACTTACATCAGCTGTAGAATATTTATCTTATAATCTTGAACTAGCTGGAAGGAAGACTTTACCTCAGCAACTTTACTTACAAACATCAGAAATACTGAAAACTTTAACAATTGAAGTATTTAAAAAAACACCAGAATAGTTACCTTATCTTCAGTAACTATGTTTTTACATCTCCTGTGTCACTGGAGTGTTCTTTTCTGAAGCTCACAAATTACTTCTGTGTAACCTCATGCCATTGTCTAATCATCTCATTCATTGTTACCTGTGACATTCCTAACCCAGGTCATCTGTCATTCATATTTTATACATTGTCTTCAATTTTTGTTATATTGTCATGGATTTTTTGCTTTATGGGTCCTTTTCTTTTTGTTCACCCCATCTCGGGGACTCCAAGATTTCATGGGTAGTTTCCTGCAAAAATCAATAGGGCACCCCCCCCCCCCCCCCTCACCTCACCCCAATAATATTAGACGTTACTGGGAACTTCCTACAGAATCTTAAGAGTCCCTGAGCTGGGGTGAGAAAAAAAGTAGCACTTTATATTATAGATAATGCACGTAACTTTACACGTACACACTGCAACACTGTCAAAAACAACATTTCAAACATTTTAACAACATTTAAATGCACATATTCTCACACTTAATAAAAGATAAGTGTGTTTACAAAAATTAATCACAACATTTTTTATTAAACATGTTGATTTTCATAAATTCCTTTAGGTCATGGCATACTACATTTCGTTTCTGAAGACCCTTTCCCTGAAACTGAACAAACATACTATTCACTTCTTCTACAATGAGGTAAGTTTTTGTGTAGTTTATCATTTAGTATTTCCTTTTTTTGAAACCCATTTTAACCCTTTGAAACGTTAGCTGACCAGCCTATAAACAATATTTTATACAATAAGGTAAGTTTTTGTGTAGTTTTTCATTTAGTATTTCCTTTTTTTGAAACCCATTTTAACCTTTTAAAACCTTAGCTGACCAGCCTATAAACACTCCCTTTCCCTGTTATCTTATGCTGAAAATACACTAGATGGATACAACAGAGAAATTAGTTCACATGAAGGAACCCGATTTTAATTATGTTATCTCAAACTGACTTACCTTGTGTGTTTAGTAGTTTTGCTTGTTTGTACTTTTCCCAGCACGTAAAATCTTTCTTTAGGCACACATTATTTCCGAATGTTTACACTAAATTCTAGTCTTCACTTTATTTTTAATGTTTTGTCTGTGTAGGTCATGCTTGGGAAGTGAATGAAGATTTAAAAAAATTTTTTATACACATCACAGATGTTATTATCCATAACTTTTGGTGGCACTTAAAAAGAATGTTTGAGTTGGAGCCCATTGGGAGATAAAGCAGTTCTCAAGTGGCTTTGCACGTTTAGTTTTTGTCCATTTTGCAAATCTAATAAATAACCAGTTGTTTACACAAGATCCCAGCATTTTACAAAATTTTTTCAGACTTCGCACATACCAGTAAGTTCTGAAGCAATTTTTGCTTTCTCTTGGTTATTTATTATTTCAGTTTCTTATACTTTTGTAAATTTCCACATTGTTTTCGTAATTGATGATGCATGAATACATATGCATGAGGGGTCTGAGGTTACATGATCTAAATGGAATGTTTTTAATAATACTTATAATACGGTTATCATAATATAGTTTTTATTTTTAAAATTTGATTTCTCCTTTAAGACTGAGTTTATTTTCTGTATTCTTTGCAGAATAAATGTACGTTAAAAATGAATTATCGTCAAGCAGCATGTACAGTCGCGCTCCTTCGCAGACAAACGTCCACTGTGATATTTTGGACCTGTGATTGTCTTCTGTCAATTTTTGTCGAGCCATCCACTATTACTTTTTCCCTCTGCCTCTTAACACCCTGGATCTTCCCAGTTTTGTTCCCTCTGGGCATTGAGTCTGTGGAAGGCAGAGAATCACAATATAGAATCTATAGCTGTGGTCAGTTGATCAGTATAGTCAAGAAGGAAAGCAATGGCAAACTACTTTCTTCAAGATGCCAAGAATAGTCACACTTTCACAACTTGCACAGTTGGTGATTTTTGGACAGGCTATGAGAAGGATTGGACTCGAGAACTTGGTAACAATTGGCAAGATTGATAGAAACTTTGCATGAGGAAGAGAAAGAGATAAATACCGAAATGGTCTAGCCACATGTATGGGGGTGAGACAAGAACACTGACCTGATTCCGGTGATCATGTGAGATGGCAAAAAATAACAACCTACCTTACCCACATGGCACACAATGAGATTGTTGAGTCTGTTGACAATAAAATAGATGAAACTCACTGTGAAAGCACTATAGACATAGTAGTTCTTCTTCTTCCTCTTTCGTTCGCTTGAAAAAGATTATCTGTATCTTCATTGTTGTCTCTGATATGCACTTCACTGACTGTTGTAATTCACTCAGCGACCCATAAAGTTTGGCTTAGACCTGTGTTTCTCTTAGCTAGTTTATCAGCTCTTTCATTCCCAGGAACTCTACAGGGGGATGGTATCCATTGCATAGTTACCTTACACCGGTTACCTAGTTTGGAGAGTAGTTTCCGTATACCAGGTTATTTTCCAGATTCAAATGCCTGAAGTACGCTCTTGCATTTGTCAGGAATACGGGTTGTGAAATATCACATATATTTAGCACTTTCTTTGCTGCTACACCGGAAACAGTGTATTTGCTGCATTAAATTTCCTAAGATGCTTCACTACAGATGGAAGCTCGAGTACTGGGTAAATGTGGCTGGTTTCCGAACTTGAGGAGATGAAGGAGAGCTCTGCAGTATAATCCCTATGGCAATGGTACTTTGCTACAAAGTTGGGAGAAATGCCTCTATATTATTCTCACTTCATTGGATGCAAGCCATTTGTATGACCTAGACATGGCTATGTGGAAACCTGAGAGACCTCAAGCTGACATCTGAGTTTGTGGCTCATAGTGCATTAAGCACATGACCAAAGATTGCTGAAGAAGAAGAATAACCTATTAGGCCAGAGAAGTCAGATGGTCCTGGTTGCATATCATACCTGATAAAGGAAGGCACAGAAGTAACCCAAACAACCTCAGTTGTACAACATTGGTCATATTATCTTTTACAGCCATCCCATATCTAAACAAGAAAGGTTTGTAATTTCTTGAAATGTATTTACAGTGGTAGCATTAACAATGCATACAGGTCTCAAGGGAGCCAAGACGGTTCATTGGGTAGATGTTTGCCTGTTTAAATCCACTTTAAGGTGTGTGTATGTGTAAAATGACCAAGCCATCTGTTTATGTATCTCTTTGCCTTCCTCTTACTGATTTTCCATTAATCTTGCTGCTTGTCGCCAAGTTCTCTACTGAATTCCTTCCTATAAGCGGAGCGGCTGACCGAGTGGTTATAGCGTTGGGTTCTCATGCAGGAAACCTGGCTTTGCCCCAGTAAGGTCATGGGGCAAAATTAAACATTCTAATCTGCACAGTCCGTGGCGACAGTGTTATAACATTTAGTTTTTCATGCAGAACCCCTAAATCCTGGAGTTTTTCTGTCGGGGGCAAATATTAAACATTCTAATCTGCACAGTCCGTGGCGACAGCTCTAGTCATGCGATCCTAAATCCTCAGGCTCACGACCGCCCTGTCTACACTGTCCTAAAATGGTGGTGAAACAGACCGCAGTGAGAGTACAGTTTTCTAACGTCCCCCAAAAAACATTTACTGTCTACAACCCATTTGTCTAATAACTTAATGGTGTTCACCTGTCTTGAGGAGGATGACAGTATTTGTTTGTTTTAATCATTTCATGATATTCTTTGCATTCTTCTCAAAAACCACATTTTCACTGTGAAGGGGTATTTTCCAGCTTGTCTGCTTATTTTCCATGTCTCACATGCATATAACAACACAGGCTCTATGTAGCACTTTAAGAATGACTGTTTGTGTTTTGTAAAATAAGAATAGCTTTTTGTTTGTTGTTTTGTAAAATAAGAATAACTGTTTGTTGTTTTGGAAAATAAGAATAACTGGTAGAGTGATAAAGAATCGCTCTTGTATCTGTCTACAGCATACACATGACTTTGCTCTCTACACTGAGGCCATCAAGTTCTTTAACCATCATGAATCCATGGTGCGCATTGCAGTCAGAACAATCACTCTGAATGTGTTTAAAGGTAAGAGCTAGTGCTGCAGGTGTATCGTTTCTTGAAAGCTGAAATGCTGTGGCCATATTTAACCACATAATGGTTTAGAAAGAACAGTTAATGGATGGCATGAGTCCTGGAAGAATAGGTGGTTGTTGACTGAAATGATGGTGGACACAGGATATCAATGACTGGGCATGAAAGTTCACCAGGAGTAAAAGTTTTCTGGGGATTAAGCAGCATTCGAGCCTACCATGATAAGGGCAAAATACTGCATAGGACCTGCTACAGGATAATATATTTCTGTTGCTTTACACTTGGCATTTCTTATCCACACAGCAGTGCCGATTTGACATTAAAATTAAAAATCTGAAGCCTAGTATTAGTTTTAATTTCCTTTGAGCTCTAAAAATTTCCTCTAACTGTGCAAACTGCTCTTGCCTTTTGTATTCATATTTTAATATTTCTATCGGTTCCCCTGTCTTTATCTACATTACTGCCCAAATAAAAGTATGACTCAACATCTTGGAGAAGGTTATCATAAAGAGAAACTAAATTACTGTTTGCTGGGTTTATTCTCATTATCTTGGTCTTTCTTTATGGATTTTTGTACATATTGTCACAGTGTTCAAACTTTTATTTTAATTGTTTTTACAGTAGAGGTGTTGGCAAATATAGTTTGCTTAAATGCAAAATTCTGTTATTGTATTTAAAGAAGAAGGTTTAAAACTGAGATGATCGGCCTCATTTCATCAGGTAGCCTGTTGATAGCATCACACAAAGTACATACTTTATATCTCCATGATGATCCCTGGGATCTAAGAAAAACTGCATTTATGAGCTCCACAGCACAATATGAAAACAAACCCATAACTATCTCAGCACAAGGAAAGGATAACTGGTTGCATAACCTTTACCAGACATCATTCATGAACTTGATTGGGGGGGGGGGGGGGGGGGTGAGCATGTTTTGGAAACTAAAAGGCAAATGAGCCGAAAGGAGCGGCCCACCTTTGTTGGGATGCAGTACAGTGAAATTGGCCAGATCATGACAACGGACAGTGAGAAGGGGAAAACCTTCCTGAAGAGATTTGTAGGGCAGATAGACCAAATTGATGGGGTTCATCAGGAGGGTCGTTGTTGATGATTTTGCTAGAACAATCAGGGATAAGACATATGAAAACATTGCACAAGTAAAAGATATAAAATATTTGCTGAAGAAAAAAATAGATAGTCCTCTTGCAGCTGGTACTGTTAGCAGATTGTCTCTTCATTGGCTACTGACGAAGGACGTGAAGCATGTGCAGAAATGTCCCAATTGCAGGGATGTAAATTCTTGATTCATCCACTCATGCATTATAAAATCTGGTAAACCAGCCCAGCATTTATTGGCTGTTTGTAGTTTTATATTGATTATTTTTCCATTGCGGCTGAATGCTGTGATGCCCGTACTGCTATTGCATTAAGCATATTGTGATATGCTGCCATATCACCCGCAGCTGACTTCAAATCCTGATATGTCAGAATTGTGAAATGTTCACAATTCCTAATCCTCGGACACCAAATAAAGAACAAAGCTTAACTTCTGTGAGGGGGAGATCCCTCTCTATACTTGTATTTATATTTGTAATCATTTATTAGCTGGAACTCAACATTAATAACAAGCCCATTACACCCACTTTATTAGCTGTAACTAAACATTAATAACAAGCCCATTACACCCACTTTATTAGCTGGAACTAAACATTAATAACAAGCCCATTACATCCACTTTATTAGCTGGAACTAAACATTAATAACAAGCCCATTACACCCACTTTATTAGGTGTAACTAAACATTAATAACAAGCCCATTACACCCACTTTATTAGCTGTAACTAAACATTAATAACAAGCCCATTACACCCACTTTATTAGCTGGAACTAAACATTAATAACAAGCCCATTACACCCACTTTATTAGCAGGAACTAAACATTAATAACAAGCCCATTACACCCACTTAATTAGCTGGAACTAAACATTAATAACAAGCCCATTACACCCACTTTATTAGCTGGAACTAAACATTAATAACAAGCCCATTACACCCACTTTATTAGCTGGAACTAAACATTAATAACAAGCCCATTACACCCACTTTATTAGCTGGAACTAAACATTAATAACAAGCCATTTTCTTCTTTTTTTTCCCTGCTCATCACTTTGTATAAAGTGTCTCTGATTTTTCTGTGGTTTATCTTCTGCGTAGTTGACCTCTTGCTCTGTTACCTTTGTATCTGTATAACATTGCTGCCTGTGGTGCCCTGTCAAATGCCAGTCTTATTCCTGGTGAAACCATTTGATTGGTTGTCTACCAATAAAGTTCACCATTTGTTCTGTACTGACTCTCCTCCTGATATCATTGTTCATAAGTCTATCTTTCCTTGTTATACCTAACATGATATGTAAACATTTCATTTTTGTCATGACTATTTTCCTTCTGTCTTCTGAAGACAGTGTCCATGTTTGATACTAATAGCATAGCTTTGGTAAGAATATTGGTGTACCATCTGTGGCTGAATTGAGTTGTATTGAGTTAAGAAGCAACATCACAGCACTTGGTACATTCTCATAAGTGCTCCGTCTCCATCTTCAGCAGCCAGCACAGAGTTACAACTCCGATGTTGCCAGTAGCAGTTTAATTGTGTCTCTCTTGCCTTTTCCTGAGTATTGAGTGTCAGCCCGATCTCCTTCTTCTTCTTCTTTCGTTTGCCTGAAATAAGTTGTCTATATCAGCAGTTTTGTCTCTTGTATAAATTTCACTGTCGTTGTTAGTTCATTCAGTGGTCCATAGAGTTTACGTTCCACTGTTGTTCTTTCTGGCCAAAAAGTTTGCCTTAATGTGTCAAAATCGGTGCAGTCCTGGAGTACATGCTCTGCTGTCTGGGGCACATTTCCACAGGTGCACATGGCTGATACACCTATCTTGAATTTTGTGTACATGTGTTTACGTAATCGGTGTGCCCTGTTCTGAGGCGGAGGATAATGACTTGTTCTGGTCTGTCCATAATAAAATAGTTGTCTTGTGCTGGGGCTGGTGGTTTCCTGATCGATTTAAATATTCTTTTCTTTTGGTGGTATGTGACTGGTAACTTCCTACTACTGGGGCCATGTTATGTCTGTACACAATCTTTGAGGTGTTATTTAATATAACAGGAGACATTTTATTACAGACATAAGCAGTGTCAACTTATGGGTTTCTCATTTTATCCTTTTTGGGTTTTCATCATTTCTATTTGCAGCTGCTTCAGGTAAATATTGTTAAGGCTGTTTAGTTTTCCAACTGTAGGCAGTATCATTTATCTGTTTTAGGTTCATATTGTCAGAACATTTTTTTTGTTCTGCCTTTTTTCTGATATATTTATTAGATGTACAATGTTGATTATTGTTATTGTTGTTATTATTATTAGTTTCATCTGCTTGAAGCGGGGATATATTTATTGTCTGTTGATATGCTTGGAGCTGGAAGATATTTATTGTCTGTTGATCTGACTGGTGCTGGAAGATATTTATTGTCTGTTGATGGACTGGTGCTGGAAGATATTTATTGTCTGTTGATGGACTGGTGCTGGAAGATATTTATTGTCTGTTGATCTGACTGGTGCTGGAAGATATTTATTGTCTGTTGATGGACTGGTGCTGGAAGATATTTATTGTCTGTTGATCTGCTCAGAGCTGGGAGATATTTATTATCTGTTTATCTGATTGCTGTTGGGATACATATTTTATCCGTTAATCTGACTGGCGCTGGAAGATATTGTCTGTTGATCTGACTGGTGCTAAGAGATATTTATTGTCTGTTGATCTGATTACTGTTGGGATACATATTTTATCTGTTGATCTGACTGGTGCTGGGATATATTTATTATCTCTTGATCTGACTGATGCTGGAAGATATTTTATTATCTGTTGATCTGACCGGTGCTGAAAGATATTTATTGTCTGTTGATCTGATTGCTATAGGGATACATATGTTATCAGTTGATCTGACTGGTGCTAGAAGATATTGTCTGTTGATCTGACTGGTGCTGGAAGATATTATTTGTTGATCTGACTTGTGATAGGAGATATTTATTGTCTGTTGATCTGATTGCTGTTTGGATACATATTTTATCTGTTGATCTGACTGGTGCTGGGATATATTTATTATCTATTGATCTGACTGGTGCTGGAAGATATTTTATTATCTGTTGATCTGACCGGTGCTGGGATATATTTATTATTTGTTGATCTGACTGATGTTAGAAGATATTTATTATCTGTTGATCTGACCGGTGCTGGGAGATATTTATTATCTGTTGATCTGACTGGTGCTGAAATATGTTTATTATTTGTTGATCTGACTGGTGCTGGGATATATTTATTATCTGTTAATCTGACTGATGCTGGAAGATATTTTTTGTCTGTTGATCTGACCAGTGCTGGAAGATATTTATTATCTGTTGATCTGACTGGTGCTGGGAGATATATATTGTCTGTTGATCTGACAAGTGCTGGGAGTTTCTGTTGATCTGACCGGTGCTGGAAGATATTTTGTCTGTTGATCTGACTGGTGCTAGGAGATATTTATTATCTGTTGATCTGACTGGTGCTAGGAGATATTTATTATCTGTTGATCTGACCGGTGCTGGGAGATATATTTTGCCTGTTGATCTGACTGGTGCTGGGAGATATATATTGTCTGTTGATCTGACAAGTGCTAGGAATGTCTGTTGATCTGACCGGTGCTGGGAGATATTTTGTCTGTTGATCTGACTGGTGCTAGGAGATATTTATTATCTGTTGATCTGACTGGTGCTGGGATATATTTATTGTCTGTTGATCTGACCGGTGCTGGGAGATATTTTGTTTGTTGATCTGACTGGTGCTGGGAGATATTTCTTGTCTGTTGATTTAATTGGAGCTTGGAGCTAAAAGATATTCTGCTTCTATTGATCTGATTTGTGCCGGAAAATATTTATTGAATCTTGTTCTGATTGGAGCAGGGAGTTTTTTATAGTCTGTTGATATGATTGAAGCAGGGAGATATTTATTTGCATCTTGCCAAGATTGCAACTGGGAGACATTTATTGTCTGTTGATCTTAATGAAGCTGATATATATGTCTCATCTCTTGATCCGATTGTTGCCCTGGTTGTGTAGTGTTTGGTACAGTCACACAGCTGCATTGCAGTTCTGGTTTCATTTTCCACGCTGTGGTATGGATGCAATTAGATCAGTATTGCTGTGTGATCCACCAGCCTTCATATGTGTCTTCGCCTCATAATTTATAACTGTAATAACTATGAACTTCAGGAGCTTCACACATCGTTGTATAATCAGAACTTTTGCAAGGCTCCTTCCCATGATACCTACTGGCTCCTATTGTAATTGCAGAACTGCTGTTTGTAACTGCTTTACCTTCTGTCCTGGACTCTACATTAAATATAAATGTCCTGGTTGTTTACTTTCTTTAGTCACAGTGATTACTTTTATACATTCTGTCTATCATGTTTTATTAACCTAAGAGGTATCGTGGAGTGGCAGCTATAGGATTGGGCACGCATGGGAATGTCTAATGTGCATTGATGTTTATATTCTGTTTATTACTCAGACTCTTTCAGTCATGAACAGTCATGGCCTGGACAGCAGATAATTTTATTATTCACTATCAAGGGCCAAGGTTCTGATTGACAGAAATGTAAGGGTTTTATCTTTTGGTGGTGAAACGAAACCAGAACCTGAAAGCTGCGCTTGGAAATTTGCAGTCATTTCCACAGCTCTTAGCAACAGCATGAGATTGATGGAGGTAATATTCTGTGTATATTCTGCATGTAATCAACAGTTGTAAGACATAGAAGATGGCACTGTATTAGACTCATCCTAAGAAGAAACCAACAGAGAGTCACCACAGGCATTGAAATGGAGAAATAAAAGGGATTAATAAGGCGAGGATGCCCAAAAGAAACCCTAAAACTAAAGTGGATGTGAGAGACCAAAGCTCTCAATATCCATGATATTGCACAGGATTGAATCTTGTGTGACATATAATGGCATGAGAGGACGATGAATGAATGAATTCTGCATATGCTTTTTGTGATATTAACATATTCTATGGTTACATTACAGTTGATGATAAAGCTATGCTTAGCTACATCAGGGACCGCACTGCAGCTCCTTACTTTTCCAATCTGGTCTGGTTTATAGGGAACCACATTCTAGACTTGGATGCCTGTGTCAGGCATGATCATGAGTAAGTGATACACCCATTTATTAGCTAGAACTAAACATTAATAACAAGCCCATTACAGTCATTTATTAGTTGGAACTAAGCATTAATAACAAGCCTATTACAGTCATTTATTAGCTAGAACTAAACATTAATAACAAGCCTATTACAGTCATTTATTAGCTAGAACTAAACATTAATAACAAGCCCATTACAGTCATTTATTAGCTAGAACTAAACATTAATAACAAATTACAGTCATTTTATTAGCTAGAACTAAACATAATAACAACAGTACAGTCATTTATTAGCTAGAACTAAACATTAATAACAAGCCCATTACAGTCATTTATTAGCTAGAACTAAACATTAATAACAAGCCCATTACAGTCATTTATTAGCTAGAACTAAACATTAATAACAAGCCCATTACAGTCATTTATTAGCTAGAACTAAACATTAATAACAAGCCCATTACAGTCATTTATTAGCTAGAACTAAACATTAATAACAAGCCTATTACAGTCATTTATTAGCTAGAACTAAACATTAATAACAAGCCTATTACAGTCATTTATTAGCTAGAACTAAACATTAATAACAAGCCCATTACAGTCATTTATTAGCTAGAACTAAACATTAATAACAAGCCCATTACAGTCATTTATTAGCTAGAACTAAACATTAATAACAAGCCCATTACAGTCATTTATTAGCTAGAACTAAACATTAATAACAAGCCCATTACAGTCATTTATTAGCTAGAACTAAACATTAATAACAAGCCCATTACAGTCATTTATTAGCTAGAACTAAACATTAATAACAAGCCCATTACAGTCATTTATTAGCTACAAGTTAGATATTGTGAGGACCATTTTGGAGAGACGGAACAATGTGGAGGTGCAGATAGATCATTACGGTCTAATGAGAATGGCGCTGCAAGGAGTTACCAGAGGATCTGGCACTCAGGAGAAGGATATACAATCAGAGGGTTACTGGTACCATCGAAATTGGAACTCTTCACTTGCTGCTGAAGATGGGGACTAAGCACTTATGGGAGTGTCCCGAGTGCTGTGATGTCAATTCTTAATTCAACATTTATCAATCAACCCATTTACTAGCTGGAATTAAACATTAATAAGAAGCCCATTACAACCATTTTTTACCTGGAACTATGCAATGAAAATAAGCTCATTATACCCATTTATTAGCAAAAGACAAACATCAATAACAAGCCTATTACACCTATTATTAGCTAAATCGAAACATTAAAAATAAGCACATTACACCCATTTCTTAACTGGAACTAGACCTTTAAAACGCCTTTTACACCTATTTATTAACTAGAACTTTACATTTATACGAAACTCATTACACCCATTTATTAGCTGGAACTATGCATTAAAAATAAGCCCATTACACCCATTTATTAGCTGGAACTAAGCCTTAAAAACAAGCCTATTAGACCCATTTATTAACTAGAACTAAACCTTCAAAAGAAGCTCATTACACTCATTTATTAACTGGAACTAAACTTTAAAAACAAGCCCGTTACATCCATTTATTAACTTGGAAGGTTACACTTATTTCTTACCCAGCAAAACGAATGGAGAAGAAAATGTCCTGGGAAGTAAAGATGTCATCATGCCTATTGAGCACTGATTGGTTTACACAAATAGCTCCTCAAAGCGCTGTCATTATTATCATCATCCTATTCTGCCATTATATGTCAAATAGTGCTCGCAGTCTGTACCTCCATTTTTTCCCCCTGTGCAATCCTCTCAGTATCATTGATGGAGTACAGTGCAGCACCTTTGGCCTCTCTCAGTATCATTGATGGAGTATAGTGCAGCACCTTTAGCCTCTCTCAGTATTATTGATGGAGTACAGTGCAGCACCTTTGGCCTCTCTCAGTATCATTGATGGAGTACAGTGCAGCACCTTTAGCCTCTCTCAGTATCATTGATGGAGTACAGTGCAACACCTTTGTCCTCTCTATCATTGATGGAGTACAGAGCAGCACCTTTTGCCTCTCTCAGTATCATTGATGGAGTACAGTGCAGCACTTTTTGCCTCTCTCAGTATCATTGATGGAGTACAGTGCAGCACCTTTGGCCTCTCTCAGTATCATTGATGGAGTACAGTGCAGCACCTTTGGCCTCTCTCAGTATCATTGATGGAGTACAGTGCAGCACCTTTGGCCTCTCTCAGTATCATTGATGGAGAACAGTGCAGCACCTTTGGCCTCTCTCAGTATTATTGATGGAGTACAGTGCAGCACCTTTGGCCTCTCTCAGTATCATTGATGGAGAACAGTGCAGCACCTTTGGCCTCTCTCAGCAAAGTTCATCTCAGGGTTTCTCTTGGGTGTCCTATTTTCTTCAATCCATTTGTTTCCCATTTCAGGTAATACAAACGCATAGTTCACAGGGTTTTTGTATTTCCCAAAATTCCTGGCAGATGCCAGTAATGGTAACTTTCTTCTGTCCTTTGTTTACAGATGCAGTGTAGGATCTCAACCAACTCATGTCAAGCCCTTTGTATGCTTGGTCACGATTGGTTAGATTTTACAACAAAGTTTTGTACAAAGTGAGATAAGTTTTAGACTAATCAGCATCAATCAGCAGGTCTGTTACAGAACACGGCTCTCTTCACAGTACACCCAGAAGTCTTTCTTTTTCTAGCCATTTCTCCAGAGCATCTTCAGTGCCTTGTATCCACCTCCATTGGGGTTAGACTCTGCCTTGTTTTCTGCAAACTGCGCCCTCCATCACCGTTCTCTCTAGGCTGCCATTTTATGAGCCAATTTTTTCAGTGTTCAGATCATGTATAATGTTGCGTTCAGATCATGTATAATGTTGTGTTCAGATCATGTATAATGTTGTGTTCAGATCATGTATAATGTATGTTGTGTTCAGATCATGTATAATGTTGTGTTCAGATCATGTATAATGTTGTGTTCAGATCATGTATAATGTATGTTGTGTTCAGATCATGTATAATGTTGTGTTCAGATCATGTATAATGTTGTGTTCAGATCATGTATAATATTGTGTTCCTGTTCAGATCATGAATAATGTTGTGTTCAGATCATGTATAATGTATGTTGTGTTCAGATCATGTATAATGTTGTGTTCAGATCATGTATAATGTATGTTGTGTTCAGATCATGTATAATGTTGTGTTTAGATCATGTATAATGTTGTGTTCAGATCATGTATAATGTTGTGTTCAGATCATGTATAATGTTGTGTTCAGATCATGTATAATGTTGTGTTTAGATCATGTATAATGTTGTGTTCAGATCATGTATAATGTATGTTGTGTTCAGATCATGTATAATGTTGTGTTCAGATCATGTATAATGTTGTGTTCAGATCATGTATAATGTTGTGTTCAGATCATGTATAATGTTGTGTTCAGATCATGTATAATGTTGTGTTCAGATCATGTATAATGTTGTGTTCAGATCATGTATAATGTTGTGTTCAGATCATGTATAATGTATGTTGTGTTCAGATCATGTATAATGTTGTGTTCAGATCATGTATAATGTTGTGTTCAGATCATGTATAATATTGTGTTCCTGTTCAGATCATGAATAATGTTGTGTTCAGATCATGTATAATGTATGTTGTGTTCAGATCATGTATAATGTTGTGTTCAGATCATGTATAATGTTGTGTTCAGATCATGTATAATATTGTGTTCGTGTTCAGATCATGTATAATGTTGGTGTTTTTCTTTTTCTTGGTCCATGGTATTCTAAGAATTTTTGTGTAGCATTTCAGTTAAAAAGCTCTGTTTTTAAAAAAAAAAGATTAAGTAAGAGTAAATGATTTAACATACATAAGTTGTAGCAGGAAAGATGTATGATCTCGAAATGCTTACTTTAACTTGTTTGCAGATGCTGTGTCATAGGCTCTTCTTGCTATTTAGCCTCTGCATTGCTAAAGAAAGTCTTTTTTTTTTTTTTTTTTCAAATGTTATTTCTGACTCGAATGTTTACAGTGTATGATGTCTGCTTGTTGGAGACAAAAGTTCTATATCCTAAAAATAACAAATAAAACAATATTTCAGCCACAGAAGCCGAGACAGGTTGGCTGATCTAGTGGCAGAGCACCTGGACCACCTGCACTATGTCAACGATATTTTCCTCATCGACATTGACACCTTGAACCAGGTGTTGACGGAGAAACTCATCAACAGGCTGCTGTTACCTCTGTATGTGTACTCTCTGACCATGCGCAAGAAGTTCTCCGAAGATATGGTAGGTGCAGCAGGAGGCTTGTTTGAAGTGGCTTGGCAGTTAATATGGATTTGTGTGATATTTAAAAAAAGAATAATTCAAACTACTATAAAATTGATGTGAATCAACTTGGTGTACAAGTATACCTCAATAGTTTTAGCTCAGAATTCTCAGCTTATACCTACCTAATGCATTTTATACCCGTTTTATACGTCGTCCTCTAGCATTAGGAATTTTTTTTAAGACTTGAAAACTTCAAATGATATTTTCTGCCATTTACAATATCTTTTTGCTTTCTTTCCTACTTGCCTCTCTGGTAATATATATAAATATATCAAATTAACGATATAAAATAAGGTAATTAATAAATAAACGAGTCAAAAATTGACAGCACTGCTGTTTGGATATTTTTCACAAGTATTTCATCCCCTTCTTCAGTGGCCTATGTAGCGTTTCTATGCTGATTGTTCAAGGGGGCTTTGCATTTCAAAAATGGTGATAGAAATTGCAGTAACCATTCCATTATCTTTTCACCTGTCAGTATTGTTGTTAAGGATGTAAAGAGTGATAAGCACATGACATCACGATGCAGACAAACAGGGTAACACAATAATGACAGTTTCAAAATAGCCACCACACTTTTGACATGCGCCAGCTTAACCATCCGAGACCAAGTAACACCTTTGTTGACAAGCAGAAGATCAAATGGTTCAGCCAGCTCATTAGAATGCAGCCACAACCACTACCAACACAGATGCTAAACCTAAAAAGATCTGATGTGAGAGCGGGAGAGTGCTCAACAAAAAGATGGGTTGGTGACATTAAAGGCCTTATATATTCACATGAGATGACAATGAGTGATGCCATCCATCCAGTACTGGGCTGTAAAATATTCCTCTCTGTGATGCTCAACATAATTAGTGGAAGTTGATGATAATGATGAGTTGAATTAAGAATTGACACCACATCACTCTTGGCATTCCCATGTGTGCTCCATCCTCATCTTCAGCAGCCAGTACAGAATTCCAATACTGATGGTACTGGTCACAATCTGGTTATGTGTCCGTCTTGCCTTTCCTCTGAGTGTAGTAAGCCAGCCAGATCCTATGGTTACACCCAGGTGCCTCATTCTCTCGAAGACATAATAATCTTCTTTCTGTACTGATTTTGTTGCTTGTTCCCAAAAGGATGATGATGATGATCTCTAAACTTACATTCTTGCTTTGCTTGAACAAAGGATGCCCAGTGGATGTATCTGACTTCAGGTTATTCTCCCTGAGACACCACATTGTGGTAATGTTACTAATACAAAATAATTCTGCAGTCTGTTTCAATTTTTTTTCCACAAAAGACAGCAATGGACATGGTGTGGCTTTTACTTGCATGGGAATGGAGAAACTGTGCTGTGACCCATTTTCTGTTAGAACAGGGATTAACTGATTAATTAACTGTTACCTAATGCAGGAACTATTACATGAAGTTAACATTTCAGTTTTTTTAAAACTCCTTTTATTTTAACAGATTGACAGAAAGCATGTTAGCAGTGTAGTTTCGCTGTTCTTGCTTTCACAGGTAAGTGTTGCCTTAAATTCCTTGTTGTTAATATATTCACCCTTATGAGAAGCTTTTGATCAATCAGTTGCCATCTCCACAGTTAAGGTTGGCTGTTATGGATCTCTTGTCTTGGACTGCTGTTTGTCCATCTCTTGATGCTCTCCTCCCACTTGTAATATTGTCTACCTCTTGCTCTCTTGCTGTCGACCGTTACCTCCACTATTTATTAAAAAATTTTTTAAAGAGTATTGTGTCTTTTAATGTGGCTGAAATATTTCAGATATTGGTTTTGAATTTGTTTGATTATGCCACTTCACCATCCTATGTTCTCAACAGTTCTTTCCAACTTTTCATCATATTATCATCAGTATCTTTGTATGCACATGTAGTATATTTGTTTCTGGGACCTGCTTGCATTTTTGCCACTTTTTCCCAATGTTTGGTACTGCAAGAGTTGAAGTTGTTAAATTTTTTTAACCCTTTTGTTTTAAGGCCAGAGATGCATCGGGCATATGATGCTAGGCTGATATTATTATAGACCATGACAGGTGCTGTAGTCAAAATCCTGCAGGCTGCCTTTACTTCCCAGGACATTTGCTGGTACCCATTGTGGGCTGGGTTGACCTGGGAGCCAGATTCAGTTTAGAAAAAAAAAATACCACTTCATATGGATTCGAACCTATGAGCTTTAGACTGGCAGGCAGGAGTCTAGCCACTGTGCTACCACTGCTGCCTACAGTGATGTTTGTGGCTGTAGGGAGTATCCAACACTTTATCTCACACCCTGGTTATACACTCTGTCAGGCTCCTTTTTACCCATCTCTTTGGTGTTATTCTTCCACCTATATTGATGTCTACCTTTTGCTCGCTTGCCTTCACCTGTACCCTCCAGCAGTTTTTTCCACCCCAAAACATGTTATGTTTTTTAAAGTGGCTGAAATAAAGGGACTCAGGAAATAATGACATCTAGAAGAAACCCTAAAATGAACATTGATGAGAGAGGCCAAATGTGCTGGACTGGATTCCTTTCATCATGTAAAAGGGATTACACAGGATTGAAGTGAATGGAGGAATAGACTGCGAGCCCTATGGGACATATAATGGCACAGTAGGACAATGATGATGAAATATTTTGCTTGTCTTTTTTTCTTCCCTCAACATCCCACTTTTCTTCTTTATCATCTTGTTTTTCATTCACCATTAAAAGGGTAGTTGGTACGTTGTTTTGTGATTTACAGTAGGGCTGCAATATTTGCCTTTCAGCCTAACACAACCAGTTTCATCAAACCTTTAATTAGTCAGCTTTTACAATATGTTTGTTAGCGGGCTGTGGGTCTATTTTTTTGCACTCCAGAATGGGCCTCAAGAACTCACAGAGGTAGCCCTGTTTTCATTCTGTCTTATCTAACTCACTGCTGTTTTTTTTTTTCCCCTTTAACATCATAGTATTTTTATGAGCAAACAGAATTTAAAATTCTCCCCTTGGCCCCATTGTGGGGAAACCAGAATAGACCCACTGCCAACCTAACAAGCCTGTCATACGAGTCAACTAATTAGGGACTTCCTTCAGAGTCAAAGTGCATCTGCTTGAGAGGCAAAAAACCAACAGTTTGCATACAAATTTGCCAGATATGTAAAACAGATGTGCAAACAGTTCTTAGGTTCTGGAGCAAGACTTAAAGTCCAGAAGTAGACAAACAACTAGAACTTTCTGCTGGAGTTTACAGCCGGTAAACACAAAGAAGAAGATACTTTAAAAAACTCCATGAAGAATTAGCCAAATCCTGCAGATGTTGTGAATCAATGTTATCAGATGTGATATTTTTTTTGCAAATAATTTGAGTGTTTGAGTTACGAAATTATATCATCGCAACACTCGACAGGTGTTTCTGATAATACACCATGGATCTTTAGTGCAGCAGTTAGCTGAAGTGATATTCACTGGTGATATAGCGCTGTCCAAACTGGCAGCATCTGGCCACAGGGACTCTCCCAAGATGGTAAGTATTGATTGTTTGTTGTTAGTGAGAAATGTCAATGTGTTTGTTGGTAGTGAGAAATGTCAATGTGTTTGTTATCAGTGAGAAGTTTCAATGTGTTTGTTATCAGTGAGAAGTCTCAATGTGTTTGTTATCAGTGAGAAGTCTCAATGTGTTTGTTGGTCAGTGAGAAAGTCTCAATGTGTTTGTTGGTAGTGAGAAAGTCTCAATGTGTTTGTTGATAGTGAGAAAATGTCAATGTGTTTGTTGGTAGTGAGAAATGTCAATGTGTTTGTTGATAGTGAGAAGTCTCAATGTGTTTGTTGGTAGTGAGTAAGTCTCAATGTGTTTGTTGATAGTGAGTAAGTCTCAATGTGTTTGTTATCAGTGAGAAGTCTCAATGTGTTTGTTGATAGTGAGAAATGTCAATGTGTTTGTTGATAGTGAGAAATGTCAATGTGTTTGTTGGTAGTGAGAAATGTCAATGTGTTTGTTGGTAGTGAGAAATGTCAATGTGTTTGTTGTTAATGAGAAGTCTCAATGTGTTTGTTGATAGTGAGAAAGTCTCAGAGTGTTTGTTGGTAGTGAGAAATGTCAATGTGTTTGTTGGTAGTGAGAAATAAATGTAAATGTGTTTGTTGGTAGTGATAAATGTCAATGTGTTTGTTGATAGTGAGAAATGTCAATGTGTTTGTTGATAGTGAGAAATGTCAATGTGTTTGTTGATAGTGAGAAATGTCAATGTGTTTGTTGGTGGTGAGAAATGTCAATGTGTTTGTTGATAGTGAGAAATGTCAATGTGTTTGTTGGTAGTGAGAAAATCTCAATGTGTTTGTTGGTAGTAAGAAATGTCAATGTGTTTGTTGGTGGTGAGAAATGTCAATGTGTTTGTTGATAGTGAGAAATGTCAATGTGTTTGTTGGTAGTGAGAAAATCTCAATGTGTTTGTTGATAGTGAGAAATGTCAATGTGTTTGTTGGTAGTGAGAAATGTCAATGTGTTTGTTGGTAGTGAGAAATCTCAATGTGTTTGTTGGTAGTGAGAAATGTCAATGTGTTTGTTATCAGTGAGAAGTCTCAATGTGTTTGTTGGTAGTGAGAAATCTCAATGTGTTTGTTGGTAGTGAGAAATGTCAATGTGTTTGTTGGTAGTGAGAAATGTCAATGTGTTGGTGGTGAGAAATGTCAATGTGTTTGTTGGTAGTGAGAAATTCAATGTGTTTGTTGGTAGTGAGAAATGTCAACGTGTTTGTTGGTAGTGAAAAAGTTTCAGTGTGTTTGTTATCAGTGAGAAGTCTCAATGTGTTTGTTATCAGTGAGAAGTCTCAATGTGTTTGTTGTTAATGAGAAGTCTCAATGCGTTTGTTGATAGTGAGAAGTCTCAATGTGTTTGTTCATAGTGAGAAAGTCTCAATGTGTTGGTTGATAGTGAGAAGTGTCAGTGTGTTTGTTGGCAGTGAGAAGTGTCAGTGTGTTTGTTGGCAGTGAGAAGTGTCAGTGTGTCTGTTGATAGTGAGAAATGTTAATCTGTTTGTTTATAGTGATTGCGGAAATAAGGGTATCAACAACAGACAGCTTGATGAGTGTTAACAGTGTTGCAGCTTGAGTCAGGTAAGGTTTTTTTTTCTTCTTTTTAATAGAGTGTCTCTGAAATAACGTAGACATAATTTCATTCTGTCTCCAGGGAATCCGAGAATTCCGACCCCCAAAGGAGTCTTTAGAGAAAACCCTGGAGAACACTAAGCCAAAGCGGAACTATGATCATCAGCAGGAATCCAGTAAGGCCCCAAGAGCCGGCACTAAATTATACGCAAGCCAGCCTGAAGACCCAGCAGTCTTGGCTGCAGCGGCTGAAGCTTTGAGCTCACCTTCAACAGGTTTGACATCCATATTATGTGCTTGTTAATATTTTTCTGTTCATTATCTGTTGTATTGAATATAGACAGAGTTAACCTAGTAATACATCTTAGACCAATTTATGGTGATTTTGACAGCAGTATAAGCATTTTGTCATTCAGAAATTAGTAGCAAACTATCTAGCTTGACCATAATATTTTTGAGCTGAAAACAGGACATCTCACTAATATTTTGAGGTGAAAATGGGACGTCCCAAGCAAGTCAGTTTAACCCCCTTCCCTCCCCCTTTTTTCCAAGGTCCTTGGGGCGAACAGGTTTATTATCCAACTGACAGGAAAATCAAAACCCGAACTATTGCTGCCGAGATATAAAAAAAAAAACAATATGCTTTTTAGATGCAGTGAGAAAAAGCGTTTTGCAATGTCAGTACATTTCAATCGTTAAAAGTACCCAAAATTATTAAATAACATCTACAGATATAACTGTAAGTGGATGTTCTGTTCTGGAGCTTATTCCGTCATTTTTATAAAACGTGAAAATTGGCACATTTTTGGGAGCACCAACAGGATGGACGGAGCACATCTAAATTAAACAGGACTGTCCAGGTGAAAGTGAGGCATATAGTCACCCTAAAAATGCTGAAAGTAAAAATTGGCTAGTAAAACCACATACACTATAAACAGAAGCTTGATGCCACAAATGTAACAAACAGTTGTGTCGAATTATTTTCTCACACAAATCTGTTCTTCTTGTGTCTTTAAATTATGTTTGTGACTTCTGCACGTGTTATCTCATGGAATGTTCCTTCATTGTTTTATAGATCACTTTTTGCAATCACTGTTCACAGAGGGTGCTCGTAGTCCCAGCAGTGAGGTGTGCTCTGGGGACACAGAACTGTCCAGCCCTACACAGAACTCCACTGATGAGGAAAAACTCATGGGAAGAGTACATCACAGGCTGGCCCCAGTAAGAGTTCCTCCTGTAGAGAACCCCCAGATGAGTTTTTCTTTGGAGAACAGGTTAGTATTTCTTTAAAGCAAAGTGTAAGAGCCTGTTTCTATGAAGTAAAGAAAATCCCAGAGCACTATGATTGGTTATATTAATCAAAACGTGCATTCCAATGTGAGACACAATTTGTTGTTGTTTTAAAGCCCCACCTTGGCTGTTGTCGGGTGCCATAATACAACCCCACCTATGTGTTGAACAGGGTTTCTGGCACCTGTCCCTGGGTGATCTTCATCCAAATGGTGGCACTTTGTGTCACCAGTTGTTTATCACTCGGTGTGATGTCCTCGTTGAGTTGAACTTCATCATCAGAACAGCATGAGTGTAAAGTAATACATTTCATTACAAGTGATGGCAACAGTAGAGCTGAAATCCCATGCTGTGATTATGAAAGACTTTTCTTAACTTGAGCGGGTCTTGCTAGTCACACTCATGATTGCCATGGGTTATAGTTTCCATGCCTATGTATAGCACCATACAACACTGGCATCTCCAAAGATGGAATGGTGCCAGTCAACCAGACCAGTACAATTGACGTACACTTGTAATGTAAAGTAATGAAGGATCTTTAGGCCATATGGTGATAAACTAATTTGTGTATATACCACTCAATGGGTGATGTGAACAGTATCATACCAGCTGCATTTCCTGCCTACGACATCTCCTGTTGGTAGTGTTGTAGAGTACTAAATACAACACAAACTGTGACGGGAGAACTTAACAGACAAGACAACAAAGCTTCTAAACAACCAGGGTCAACATTTAATGTATTTCTTGGATTCATGTTGAGGTTTTCCAACATAGTTTGGGTTGAGTTTGGGTTGAATTTAATTCTCCATTGGTAAAGACTTTGATCAAAACATTCGGTTGTATTTGTGCCTGTCCTCTATCCCTTTTATTGAGCTGTATAGCTTAGTTGCGTATCTTTTACAGAACTTTGCAGGACCAACCCCAACAGCCCCTGGCTGTTGTGTGGTTTTTCTAGGCAAATTTGCGTCCAGTAGTTTGCCATTGCTTTCTTTATACCACTGTCGAAACCAACGCAAGGGGCATGGCCCGCAGCTGGGATTGAACCCGGCTTCCCGGCATTACGAAGCGTTCACATCAACTTAGCCACAGAGCCGACTCATTGAGCTGTATATTCACATTTTATTTTGTATTTATCACTTAATTCATCAGGTCACTCAGTCAGTCTGTCAGTTAATCAAGCAATAAAACTTAATTTATTAGTTTGTTACTATCACTTTATGATTAGTGATTAGAAAGGATTATCATCACAGCACTCCGGACAGATCCATAGGTGCTCCGATCTCCTCCTCAAAAGCTCCACAAGTGTAAAACGACTGATGACGCCTGTTCTATGTTGGTTAATGAAACGTTTTGTCCCCTTAGTGAAGTGTTCATTTCTTGCAGCTCCAGGCTGCACCCCCATGTCCATCAGTCTAGACAGGGATTTGGAGTCATGTTCTTCGACTTGCTCCTCGGTACGGTAAGTGCAGCGCATGGCATTGATAACATCACTTCTGTCCAGTACTGTGTACTATCAGTTTGTGTACTGCAGTAGCGTAGTTGCTAGATGCTTGCCTGCCAGCCTCAAGTTCTTGGGTTTGAATCCATATTGAGTCAGAATTTTTTTCAAAATTGACCTTGCTGCCAGATTTGACCCAGTCTAAAATATATGGCAGGTAATGACCTGGGAAGTAAAGATGGCCAGTGTGATGTTGACCATGTCATCCACCAAAGCTGATTTCTCTAAAACATTGAACCTAGCATCATATATCTGATCCGTCACTGGTGTAACAAGGATTCTTTACTATCAGTTTGGACATGTTGTGTAGTAAGATGCTGGTTTTTAAAAAGTGACATTGACACACTGGACACACCATTTCTTGTATCATTTCAAGACCTTACCTAGAGGCCATCTTCAATGCCCTCGAATGCAGTGAAAATGACTACTCTGCATTGTTTGCTTTGTGCCTGCTGTACGCTATGGGAAAGAGTGAAGGTTGGTATCCTGTAATTACTTTTGGAGCTTGTGACAAGAGTTGAGTTGTTTCAGGAATTGACATCATAGCACTTGGGGCATTCCCATGTGTGCTCCGTATTCATCTTCAGAAGCCAGCGCAGAGTTTCAATACTGATGGTACCGGTCACAATCTGGTTATATGTACATCTTGCCTTTCCTCTGAGTGTAGTGAGCCGACCAGACCCTCTGGTTACACCCAGGTGCCTCATTTTCTCCAGGCCATAGTAATCCTGTTTTTCTACTGATTCTGTTGCTTGTTCCTGAAGGGCCTTGACCACATCTGCTGCCTTGTCATGTATCAATTCACCACCTAGTGGTGCAGATCCAGCCAATCTATCTGCCTGTTTATTACCCACAATGCTGGAATGGCCTGGAGGAAAGACCCAAAGTATGCTCACTACCTGTGACCTTCCCAGGGAAGCTTACCACTCTGCTCAAAGCATCCCTGCCTTCACCTTGTGACAAGTATGCCAGTGTATTACGGGTACATGAGGGAATAGAATAGAGAATACAGTGCAGATCTGATAAGAAGAACTCACCAGGGACCCAAAAAATGGTTCTTCTTATAAGAAAAATTCCTGGAGATAAATAAATAGTTTCTCACAACAGAATTTCACCACATCTGAGATCGACTGAAGCGGTCTGCACTTAGTAATACTGTAAAGGCCCCTTTTCACATCTTTGTTGCATAAGGGATATAATGCTAGAACTGTATTTTACATTCCAGTCAGAGCTTGATAGATCATGTTGTGAACATCACGCTGGCTACCTACTTCCCAGATCATTATGTGGTTCTCATTTTAGACTGGTGCAACCTTGGAGGACTGCCAGTTTAAGGGTTGGGGGGGGGGGGGGGGGGGGGGGGGGGGAGGGAACTGCCTTGATGCAGATTTGAACCCTAGATCGGGTCAGGGAAAAACCTTAGCTGAAAAAAATCCAGCCAATCTTGAACAAGTCCACCAGTGGCCTGGTGTGAGATAGTTGGGGCCTAGGTGCTTAAGCCCTTTGAGTGCTCCCTATGGCCCGGGTCCCCCCCCCCCCCCCCCCCCCCCCCCCCCCCCCCCCCCCCCCCCCCCCCCCCCCCCCCCCCCCCCCCCCCCCCCCCTAAAATTTTATGAAGCACTCTGCCCCTTCCTAATATGTATAAATGTTCTATTTTTAACATTTGTTTACATGTTCAAACATTTAATATTGATTCATATATACTTTTATATTTATTGGCCATTCAACAAACAATAAACAACAGTAATAATAATTATTATTATTGCAAATTAAACTAGGCCTCAACCGCTTGATCCTTTGCACCCTAAACTATTGTAAGGCCCACACACACTCACACACACACACACACACACACATGCTTTCTTCATGGTGGCATGCCTGCTGTGGTCTGCTGGGAGCTGAAAGAATGAAAAAGAAGACAAAGAAGCTATGACAAGGATTGTACTTACATGAACTCTCTGAAGGATACAAGTAATAAGCAAGACTATAAAAGTTATGGTGAGGGTCGATTGAAGTCCTGTGCTCAAGTGGCAGATCAGAGGCAGAAACAGAAGAGGAAGAAGATGTGTCCAAAAAATATGCTTTGGTATTTTAAAACAGATGAAAGTTTATGACTTGTGTACAGGCACATAGTGAGCATAGTATAATGTACATACACATACATTAGTGAAGAATAGAATGACTTGGCGTGAGTTGGTTGAGGGCCTATGCTCCATTCTGGGTTAGAAAGGCAGAAGAAGAAGACATGCATCTCTCTCTCTCTCTCTCTCTCTCTCTCTCTTTCTCTCTCTCTCTCTCTCTCTTTCTTCTCTCCCTCCCTCCCTCCCCCTCACCCTCCCTCCCCCTTTCTCTTCCTGTCACCTACCTGTTATTAAACATTACTTGTATGTATGGGTGTGTATGTGTTTGTATGTATGGGTGTGTGAACTAGAGAACCCTGTATATTATTTAAATGTGTAATACAATGAATATTTGCAGGAATATCCCAGAATCTGCTTGACAGTGTTTTGATGCCAACAGAGAGATCTGATGTAAGTTAGAACAGTCATCTTTGAAAAGAATCATTTTTTTTTTCTCTCCTGCTTTTCCACCATCTTTGTTCTTATTCAACTCTACTTCATGCCCTGCCAAATCTTCTTTCATTTTTACAGCTTATCACTGTTGGAACTGGCCATATACCTTTGTTGGTTCCAGGCCACATTTTTGTTGGAAAAAAGAATAGACCTACTTACTGCCCCCTAAAAAGCATGTTGTAAAAAGAGACCAGTTAGGGGTGATTCATTCGAAGTTGGATTGAAGTTTCCTGTGAAGTTAGAGTGCATCTGCCTGAGAGGCAAGGAACCAACAGTCTGCAAATGAATAAGCAAGATTTGTAAAATGAAGGTGAATCCAAAAGTTCTGAAAACAAGACCAAAATCCATAACTCGATGAACAACCAGAACTTTCTGCTAGAGTTTACAGCTGATGAATGCTAAAAAGAGGAAGATATTTTTTTAACGTATAACATCATTACATGAAAAATCATAGGCCTATACAATTTCATATAACATGTGTCCCGTGGTCATGAAAGGATTTAGAGTTACAAGAATTAGAAATTGAGTCTTCCAAGGGGCCCTAAAGGAAGGAAAGAATAGTAAATATGTGGCCTAGCCTAACATGTCATAAGAAGTGATAAAGAAGGGTTGGACTTGGTATTGACTGTCTCATCCTGTAGAAGGCTTCTACCATGAAAGCCAACTACTAACTTTGACCAAGTCTAAAAAGGAAACAGGAAAACTCAGCGTACCAAGTTGAGGGCGAGGCTCTTCTGTAAGACCTATAAAGCAGTACATGGTTTAATATGGGGAGAATGTGGAGTAAACTGTAGGAAAGGGCAACAGATAGGATGACTTGCTGTGGGTTTGTTGAAGATCCACACTTCAATGAGGGATATCTCTATGTGGGTTTCAGGGCTCCATTTGGGCAGAGGATGGGGGAAAGGGTGTTGGGGGTGGAGATAAGACTCACTGTCCCTCAACCAGCAAGTTGTGATAGGTAACTGGGATTTGCTAAAATTGAACGTGTTGAAAGGTACAGATATGGCAGACTAGTTGTAAACCATAACACAGTGTACCAGCTACTCTGTGGGTTAATGCGGAAGAAGAAGAAGAAGAATGAGGTATAATGGACAGAAGAAAAAGAAAGTGATACAGGCCTGACGCCAGTAAAAACGTGAGCCGTCATGTGAGATCTGTGGAAAGCCAGTGGCAAATGCTGAAGCTGAGTTGAGTCAAGAACCAATATAACAGAACTTGAGACATTCCCATATAGTCTGTGTCCTTATTGTCAGCAGCCAATGAAGAGCTAAAGTTAGAAGTAACTATGTCTTCTAGTGGTTTCTGGGGTCTAACGGGGGTGGGGGGGGGAGGGAGGAGATAAACCCACTGCTCCTTCTAACAAGCATGTTGTAAAAGTTGACTAAGTAGGGGTGTTTCCTTCGAAGTAGGAGTGCATATGCCTGAGAGGTGAGGAACCAACAGTCTGCATACAAAGCCTGATCTGTAAAATGGATGTTCTTGCAAAACTCAAGTTCTGGAACAAGATTAAAGTCCAGAAGTGGACGATCAACCACTGTAGTTTATATCTGGTGAACAACAAAAGAAGAAAAAGAAAAGTGATTACATTTGGAAATGTGTTAACTGTATATGGCAGTAATAAAAGCTTCCATAGGATGAATATCAGAGTCACATACTGTTCTGGTTTCTCTTGTCCCTGTGTCTAGTGTAAAGAATACTACAATCTGATTCTTGTGGAGCGTTTGATCAGGATAATTGAGTTGGCCTGTCAGTCAGGTAAAACTTTTTTTGACTTTGTTGTCATTGTCAACCTTATCATCATCATCATCATCATCAGTATCACATCCATCATCTGGATCTACACACCTGGGCACGCAAGAGTAAATTGTAATGAAAGAGCTGACCAGCTGGCAAGTAATGCACCAATGCAAATGGGAAAAAACATGGACAGAGCTGATATCATCAACGCCATACGGATTAGGTTGAGAGATAATGGCGAATCACGGCCGCTAACACAACTTCGTGACTGAGTAGTTGAGCTGAGTTGTTGGGGGTTGGACACACTGACTCCCTAAAAAAAAAGATGTTATAAAAGGCAACTAATTAGGGATTTTCCCTCCAAAGTCAGAGCACATCTGCCTGAAAGGTGAGGAACCAACAGTCTGCATACTTCTTCTACTTCTTTGTGTTCAGTTTCATATGCTCAGACAGACCATTACGTGGGTTGCCTCTTTGAACTCACATGTCAGCAGCATCATGATTCCCCATAGCTTGCTCTACACACTTTGCTCTTGAGGCCAGGTGTCTTTTCAATGTTGTATGTAGAGTGGGCAGGTCTGCAGAATGTGCTCAGGTGTTTGTGATCCTGTTTGACAGGCACACTGTGGGGATTGTACAATCTTTATTTTATGCATGTGGTAGTTGAGCCTGCAGTGTCCTGTTCGTAGATGGAAAATTTTTGTATGTTGCTTTCTGTTAAGTCTGTTGATGGGGTCTTGTGGATGTTTACTATTAGTTTGTTCTCTCCACAGTTCCTTTTATTTTCCCTCGATAAGTGTTCTAATTTCTGGTAATGACAATAAATGGGTGTGTTGTTTCTCCTGTTTTCAATTTTGTGCAAGTCTGTCTGCTAACTCATTTCCTGATATGCCGCAATGAGCCGGGATCCACTAGGGAACGATTTGATTGTTTTCTGCGAGTCTGTTTAACTGGCGGATCAGTTCTCTCTCCATGTTGTCTCGTGGATCCCTCTGAGTCGCCTAGAGGACTGACATTCAGTCATAAAGAAAAAAGAATTTAGCTGTTTTTAATTTTTCTTTTCTCAAGCACTTTGGCTGAATCAATAAATGCTTGCTGCTCTGCTCTGAAGTTTGTTGAGAGTCTTCCGTAGGTGCATAACGTTTCTACTGTGGTCCCATCTTGCAGCATGATGACTGATCCAGCTTACATTCTTCAGCCTGGAATTGTTGTTGTGACTGTATAAAGCTGTAGGTCTATGCTGTATGCCTGGATCATTTCCCACGTTGAAGGATCTTTAAAAAGGATGTCACTGTTTTTTGCGTAGTACAGTTTTGATAGATGGTGAAAGCTTTTTCTTTTCAGTCGGTTTTTAGTTAAGTTGTTTGCTATTCTGTGCATGGAGTTCATGCATTTACATTTTTCTGCTAGGTAAGCACCTTTTCTCCCCTTCGAAGGCTCAAGCTCTGGGGGCCAGAAGTTGCCTTCAGCTCACTAATTGGTGTGCTTCTCATACCTCCAGTGAGGATTCTGAGACCAGTGTTCTGTATTTTGTCCAGTTTGTGTAGGTTTCATTTTGCTGCAGTGGAGTACGCTCCCATGCCATACTCCAGTTTTGGTCGTACGTATCCTGTGTATACTTGTCGTACAGTGTTGGCATCTGGGCCCCAGCTTGTTCCAGTAAGTTTCTTCACAAGTTTGAGCCTCAGGGTAGCTTTCCTTTGGGTGTCTCCAGTGTGGAATTTGTGTGTGCCTTTTGTCGAAATTTACTCCCAGATATGTGGGGTTATCCTCTGTTGGAAGGATGTTGCCTTCTAGGAACAGATCAACTTGTTCTATCTTTGTGGACAGAGAGAAGAGACGTCTGTATACAGGTAAGCTAGATCTGTTAAATGGATGTATGCACAGAACAAGAGTTCTAGAATGCTAAGAAGAAGAAGAAATATCCAAATGGCTTGACCACATGGTATATTTAGTCATAATCAGAACAAGAACAAACACCTGATCTGAGACTCTGTTGATTGTGTGAGATGAAAAGCTTTGATTATCAGCATTTATCAGCATGTCACACAGTGATAGTTTTCATATATAGAGTCACCTGTGCACTTTCCTAGTGAATCCTGTGTGTTTTCAGGAACCAAAGTCCGGCTTGCAACTCTGGAGATAAGCATCAAGTTACTCAACCAGCTGGTCAACAGTTCCGACAGGTCCTACCTGCAGGACCGACACCTGGCATGTATAGAAAATGCTAGAGAATGCTGTACCCAGCAGCTAAGGAACTTTTATAAGGTATGTACAGGCTGGCAGGCAAACTGCAACTTTTCTGAACAATTATCCATAAATAATTTCTTTCCTTCATTATATTTATTTTGTCGGGAAATTTCTTTGAATGCACTCTGAATTTCCCATTGTCATTTCCCAAGTGGGAGTCGACGTGGCGGAGTGGCTAGATGCTCGCTGCTGATCGGAAGGTCGTGGGTTCGTTCCCTGGTGGAGCCGGAGTTTTTAAAAAAATGACCTTGGCTTCCAGGTTGACCCAGCTTTGAGTGGGTACAGGGTGCAGTCCTGGGAAGTAAAGGTGGCCCGCATGATGCTGATCACATCACCCACCTTGTGCTGATTGGTCTATAAAATATAGGTCTAGCCCTACATGCCATATACACCTAAAGGCGTGGAAAAGGGTCCTTTACTTTTACTTTTTTACATTTCCCAAGTTGTTTAAGTATGTGTTTACTATTCTATTTTGTATTCTCTGCATTCTTATCTCATTTTGTTCTCTGCTGTACTGCAGGTTAAATATCTTGCTGACTGGAATGAGTGACTGTGTCTTGCCGCAACTCACACTAGCTAGTACTTTTTCAATTCATGAATTGTTATTTTTCCTTGCCAAGTATCTCCTTTGTTTGTTAACCTCCGTCACATTAATGCTACTATTTCTCCTCCATTTTCATATCCTATGTTTTCTCTGTATGGATTCCTGGGCCTTATTTTGGGGAAATCAAGAATAGACCGACTGCCTTCCCAACAAGCATGTCGTAGGAATGAGCTAATTGGGAATTTCCTTTGAAGTCGGAGTACATCTGCCGACGCGGCAAGGAAACAACCAACTGGACACAAATAAGCCAGTAAAATGGATGCAGCCAGGACTTTTCGCCGGTGCTTACAGCCAGTGAACAAAGAAGAATGATCTTATGTAATTAATTAACATCACCAGTAATTCTCTGTTTGTTACCCTGTATCTTGTTAATGCCACTAGTTGTAGCAGTAGATTCCATTGTCTTCTCTCTTCTCATATAATGGCTAAGGAGTGTTCAGGATGAGTTTATTGTATGGTATGACCTATTTTAGAATGTTTTTTATGATTTGTGATTGTAACCTGTATATTTTGTGTAATATTCTGCTGTCCGACCACAGTTCTTTCTATAACTGCATCCTGTCCAATATTTGGGATAGGCAAGATTGTCCGTTTAGCTCTGAAGTTTTGTGTGTGCTTCTGGCAGTGATTTGCTAAATCAGTTTTCCCATGTGAACTGAGTCTACAGTTTTGCTGCCTAAGCTGCTGAGTTACATGTTTGGTGCAGCACTGTGAGCTGTGCATTTCATGTAAAATACTTCTTCCATCAGAGATAGTGTTCAGTTTTGGTGGTGACTGTTGGTGTTGGCATCTCTGCTGCAACCTTATGCATTTTCTGGATTTTGCCAGCACTGATTGTATATTCACTAGTTTTTAAATGGAATAGTGAGAGGCATTTCATGCGATTTTCACTGGCACAAGAACGGAGCAACTACGGGTCGACCTATTTGCTGTGAAGTTGAAACCATGACACTCCTTGGTATGGCATACATTTTGCTGTTTTTATTTGTATTCTCAGAGTGAAGAGATTTTCTTGGACATGTTTGAAGATGAATATAGAGAGATGAAGGTAAATTATATTCATTTTATTCTGTTTTTTATTTTGTTGGCAACTGTTGGTTTATCCTGTTCCTGATTGAGTGACCAACTTACTTCTCCATCCATGCTATCCCTGAACCTTCAAATATCTTGGCTCCCACATATGCAACGATGGCAGCTGCACCAAAGAGATCAAGACAAGACTTGATATGGCAACAGCCACGAACAAATAAGAATCTGGAATGACAACATCAAGAAATGGACAGGACTAAGTTATCATACACTTATTCATCATGCGGAAGACAGCGAAAGATGGCAGGTTTTATGTTCTAGTGCTTCCATCGATAGACCTCCATGATCTCAATGGGTCAAGGGTTGTGTTATGTTATGCTATCCCTGAAGGTTTGACTCTCTTGCTACACAAGAAGTTACATTTTGTAAACTAAACAAACAGGTCAAATCCAGATACTCTGTTCAGCCTCCCAACAAAAGTTACAATTAGAGCACCCATATGGCTACACCAGTCACAGGGGCTTAGTCTGGAGAACAAACTCAAAATATACATCAGCAGCATTTTAAGAGACCAAACTCAGAATGTACATCAGCAGCATTTTAAGAGACCAAACTCAGAATGTACATCAGCAGCATTTTATGAGACCAAACTCAGAATGTACATCAGCAGCATTTTATGAGACCAAACTCAGAATATACATCAGCAGCATTTTAAGAGACCAAACTCAGAATATACATCAGCAGCATTTTAAGAGACCAGACTCAGAATATAAATCAGCAGCATTTTAAGAGACTAAACTCAGAATGTACAGCAGCAGCATTTTAGGAATGCTGTTATACAACCATGAGTTGGAAATTAACAGCGAGAATTAAATGTAAGCTAGGAAATAAATGTCTAAAGAATAATATTTTGACCAAACAAGACTACAAATTAAGAACTGAGAGAGAAAACAAAAATGTTGATTCTGGTATATATTAATAAAGAAGGAAAATGGAGATGGATTGGATATATTTGCAGAGTGCCTCATTTTGGCAAGGACAGCTCTCTGGTGAATGGCAAATAGAAAAAGAAAACTGGGATGACCTGAGGAAACCTGGAGAAGAACAGCGGAAAAAGAAATGAAGAAATGTAAAACGTCATGGGATACCATGGGCAGACAAGCAGCGAACCAGCAGCAATGGAGGTCACTTGTGAATGCCTGATATGTCAACAATGACATGAAGAGGATTTAGATAGATAAGAACCCTGTCTGGGTTTTAAAGCTCCATTTTAGGGAAACAAAAATAGACCCACTGCCCCATAACAAGCATGTTGTAAATCTGTCTGTCTGTGTCGGTCTGTCTGTACTAGATTTAATTGCCCGACTCTCCTGGGACAGTAAAAGTCTTATTCTTCCATCCTCTACCTCATCTTGGTCTATATCAATTTTTGTCTAACCCAATATGCCTAAGACGGGGGAAAGGGGTCCTTTACTTTATTTACTTTTCAAGCATTATTAAGGTTTGTTTATAAGTTTAATTTCTACATATTTTGCAATCATTTGCTCTTCAGAAATTGTGCAATCTTTTTTTTATTTTGTTTTCCATGCAGACTCGGCCATTAAACGTTGAATACCTGATGCAGGACGCCTCTATACTTCTCCCGCCCACCGGCACACCTCTCACAGGAATAGATTTTAACAAGCGCCTCCCATGCGGAGAAGTGGAGAGAGCTCGAAGAGTGAGCAAAGACTGTATGATTGAGGATGTTGATGGTGGTTGCATGACTGCGTGAATTATTTTCTTTGCCTAATTCAGCACTTTTAAGGGTTTTTGTTGTTGTCTTTTTCTCCCTGCGTTTGTCTTCATTTAAGTCTAAATTGTGTTTACTCCCACCTCTATTCTTCTTTCTTTCTTTCTTTCTTTCTTTCTTTCTTTCTTTCTTTCTTTCTTTCTTTCTTTCTTTCTTTCTTTCTTTCTTTCTTTCTTTCTTTCTTTCTTTCTTTCTTTCTTTCTTTCTTTCTTTCTTTCTTTCTTTCTTTCTTTCTTTCTTTCTTTCTTTCTTTCTTTCTTTCTTTCTTTCTTTCTTTAAATTATAATAAACACACATTGTTTGAATTGATCATAAGCACCAGATGTTGCACGACCAAGATTCACCATTGATCTTCTTGGTGTTTAAGAAGAATATTTCTGCACCTACCCATCAGTAGATGGAAGCCCTTTTTTATCGTTTCAGAATGTCAATGAATCTGATTTTATGTGTTAAAATTCAAGTCTTCCAAAATATTCCCAGCTTAAACAACTGACTGACCAACAAATTAACCATCAGACCGACCAGCTGAGCAGTCAAACAAACATTTTACTAAACCACCAACCAGCTAGCTAGCTGGTCAACCAACTGACCAACCAGTCAACAAAACAAACAACCTACCAGCAAACTAACCACTTAGCCAACCAGCGACTTACCCAATCAACTAACCAGCCACAAACCCAACAGCCAACCACCAAACTAACCACTCAGCCAACCAGCGACTTACCCAATCAACTAACTAGCCAGAAACCCAACAACCAACCAGCAAACTAGCCAATCAGCGACTTACCCAGTCAACTAACCAGCCAGAAACCCATCAACCTACCAGCAAACTAGCCACTCAGCCAACCAGCGACTTACCCAATCAACTAACCAGCCACAAACCTATCAACCTACCAGCAAACTAACCACTCAGCCAATCAGCGACTTACCCAATCAACTAACTAGCCAGAAACCCAACAACCAACCAGCAAACTAACCACTCAGCCAACCAGCGACTTACCCAATCAACTAACTAGCCACAAACCCAACAACCAACTGTTTATGAAGCTTCTTATAATCTCTAATCTATAATCTCCTACAATCTCACATGAATGCATGCGTGTCTTTGGCTACTCTCCTCATTACTATCTATGTCAGTACTGTATGTCATTTTACACTAGTGGAGCTTTTGAGGAGGAGATCGGAGCACCTATGGATCTGTCTGGAGTTTTGTGATGATAATCCTTTCTAATCACTAATCACTTATAAGCATTGTGCTGATTTTCTTATATTAGTCTGTATGAAGACACTATTTAAATATTGTGTTGTTCCTTATAGTAATCATAAACATATTTTTGGTTTACTGCCAGGCTATTCGGGTATTCTTTATGGTGCGAGACCTTTCTCTGAGGCTGATGCATGAAATGGAGACACAACTACCACTCACCAAAGAAGAAGTGTGTATTAAAACAGAGGATGTGCTGGACTTGAGTGAGTTATGTTTAAAAAATGTTTTTTCTTTATTTATGAGGGATGTTTAATGTATGGCTTAGGCATTGCAACATCCTGTAAACAGAACGCAAGTAACTTTATAGCATAATTCTTCTGTTTGCAATATGTCATAGATATTATGGACCTAACACTTCCTGTGTGGATTCCGGGACCCTATTATAGGGAAAACAAGAATATACCCAAAAGCATGTCATAAGAGTCGACTAATTGGGAGCTTTTTTTCGAAGTCGGAGTGCATCTGCCTGAGAGGCAAGGAACCAGCAGTCTGTATACAAATGAGTCAGATCTGTAAAATGGATACACACACAACACTTCAGGTTCTGGAACAGGACTGCAGTCCAAAAGTGGATGAACAACCAGAACTTTCTGCCAGTTTTAAGCAGGTGAAGAAGAAGAAGAAGAAGAATATGTACCTAACACAAATACCATATGTTTTTCTATGTAATTGGTCTGTGCTGTGTATCTAAGAGGAACTGCAGAAACCTCTCCAGAATGACTATTCATTAGGTTATAGAAGACCTGTATGTTACTGTAATTTGTTTTAGAGAGGATAAAGAAAAAGAAGAACAGAAGGAAAAAGAAGAAGAACCACAGCAACAAGATGAAGAAGAAGAAGAAGAAGCCAGAGCATCAGATTAAGAAAATGATTGCAAACCTAACTTTCTGATATCATCTGAAACCCAACATTTTAATATTTAAAAAAAAATTTTTTTTTTGGACAAAAGAAACACTGTTGAAATAAAACACAGCTTCAGCAAAATAATCTGTTACATTGTGATAGCAGTTAATCTGAATGTAAGTATTGTGTAAACATGTTGACACAAACAAGTAGTTGTTAAATAGCATGTGTTTATTTCTTGCTCTATTTGTGCCTGACATTTTCAACTATTGAATTGATTTTTGTTTTTGTTTTTACCAGACAACAGTGACTTGATTGCATGTACAGTTGTTAATAGAGAGAGGTAGGTAGTTACTGAGGAATATGTTACTTGTCTTCATGTCTCTGGTCATGAAATAATCTCTTATTGTCTCTTACAATTATTTCTCATAATTTTGGTGTCATTTTTTGGGGTTCAGAAGTATGTAGTAACCAGAGCTCACCTGCGGATCTGAAGGTCATAGATTCGAATCTGAACGGAGCTGTTTTTTTTTTTTTTACTTTTCAGAAATGACCCTGGCTCCTGGGTCAACCCAGCCTAGAATGGGTAGCAGGCAAAGTCCTTGGAAGTAAAGGGTCCCCGGCATGATGTAGACATGTAGACCACATGATCCACCGCCGATTAGTCGATAAAATATAGGTCTAGCCCTATATGTCCAGTGGGAGCCACGGTGGTGAAGCGGCTAGATGTTTGTCAGCGGATCTAAAGGTTGTGGGATCAGGTCCTGTCAGATCCAGGCTTTAAAAAAAAAAAAAGGTCTTGGCACCGTGGCTCCACCCAGCCTTAAATGGATATCAGGTAAAGTCCTGGGGAGTAAATATTTTTTTATCAGTGACTGCCGTTATACAGAAGACCTTTGTGGCTTAGGAGTTGCAAACGCAGTTCATAATTCTAAAATACCTGATTGAATTTAGCTGCTGGTGATTTGACAGCAGACCACTTTGCATTGATTTTGACAGTGGTATGGGGTGGTCACTGTTCAGAAGCAGTTGTAAAATACTGAATGTAAAATATCCTAGTGAAGCAATAAACAGCCAACAGGTTTTGGGGTTGGCAACTGACTGCAGCAACACCAGTTGACACTGTTATTAAGACATCCATACATAAGTATGAGTACCAAGAAACAGCTTATAAACAGCATATTCATTGCAACACTGTGCTACGGGTGCCAGACTTGGACATTATCAAACGCTAATCTATGTAAAATGAACACCTGCGAAATCCGGCATTTGTCCATGCCCAAGGATATCTGCAGTATCCTGCATGTCTCCATTGCCAAGGATATTTCCAGTATCCAGCATATTTCCATACCCTAGGATATTTCCAGTGTCCAGCATATTTCCATACCCTAGGGTATCTCCAGTTTCCTGATATTTCCATGCCCAATGATATTTCCAGTATATTTCCATGCCCAATGATATTTCCAGTATATTTCCATGCCCAAGGATATTTCCAGTTTCCTGCATATTTCCATACCTAAGGGTATTTCCAGTTTTCTGCATATGTCAAAACCCAAGGATATTTCCAGTATTCTGCATATTTCCATACCTAAGGGTATTTCTAGTTTCCTGCATATGTCAAAACCCAAGGATATTTCCAGTATCCTGCATATTTCCATACCTAAGGATATCTCCAGTGTCCTGCATCCACTTTCATTCTGTATCATCCCTGCATTTTGTTTCTGAAGCCGTGCCTTCTCTTACTGTTCGTTAGGAACCATGGCAGATGTAATAAACCTTTAAATCCTGGGAACCTGAGTGTCTTGGGTTTGAAGAGCACTGGGACGAAAACAAATTGATCTGGCTCACCAGTTGATCCAGGCTTAAAGGCTACCATGTATTAATAAAGTAACAGAAAATGTATTGATCAGCACTCATAGAAAGATGTAGAAAGATGGAAGAACTTCTTTCTGCTTCTTTCTATGAGTGATGATCAATACATTTTCTGTTACTTTATTAATAAATAATATTTAACGGCCTCAAGGGTTTCCCCTCTGTTTTTTTATGTTAAGAGTACCAGAATTTTCCTGTGGCTGACATGATGTTGACCTCATTGTCCATTGAGTGCTGAGTGGGCTATGAAAAATATGAGTTCAGTATCATTTGCGTGATGTGCTCTGGCATGAAACTTACTTAACTTTACTGGGGGAAGGAGGTATGCTTCATTATATATTTCAGCTGTTCATAAAGTGATATACATCTCTGTATTATGAAGAAGTCTTCAAAGCTCTATATTTACACAATACTGTATTCTGATGGTCTAAATTGGCACAGTGAAGAATGTTTTCGCTGACACAGCAAGATTCCAGATTACAGTTTACGAATGTATACTGGGGCTGATGTTATTAAGATGCCTGTTATATTTGGTTTCATTAGTCATAAAATAATTTGATTATGTTTTACTCTGACAGTCGCAAGCAGGAACGGAGATTTCTGGTCATTGATCCTGTCCAGCTGATTCTGGTGGAGCCAGACTCCAAACGTCTTGGCTGGGGAGTGGTCAAGTTTGTTGGATTCCTACAGGTGAATGTTAGCTGCATCCAGATAGAGAAGATTAGCTGTTAGTGGGTTTTATGTTTGGTTTACCTCAAGGGAAGGTTCCCCACTAGACAGTAAAAAGTGCTAGATGAGTCCCAAGGAACACGTCATATATTCATAGGTTTCTATCTAGAAGCCCAGTAAACACAAGATAAGCCGATTGTACATCTCTCTTTGCTACCCCTTGGGCCTCTGATGCTAAACTCCCCTGGGACTGAAAGAGTTAAGGCTAGCAAAGTTTTAGCTGCCTTGTTTGAATGATCAGAGTCATCTTAAAACATCTAGCAAAGTTCTAGACATGACTTACATGAATGATCAGAGTCATCTTAAAACATCTAACAAAGTTCTAGACATGTCTTAAATGAATGATCAGAGAAATAAAAAAAAAATCATCTAGCAAAGTTCTAGACATGTCTCACATGAATGATCAGAGAAATCTTAAAACATCTAGCAAAGTTCTAGACATGTCTCACATGAATGATCAGAGAAATCTTAAGACAGTTGGGACTTCTTCTTCTTCTTCTTCCTTATGTTCACCGGCCTTAAACTCAGGCAGAAAGTTCAAGTTGTTCATCCACTTCTACACTTTAGTCATATTTCAACATGTCAGTTTTGCATGCACATGTGCTTTATAGAGAGCTTATTTTTACGCAGACTGTTGGTCCCTTGATTCTCAGGCTAATGCACTCTGACTTCGAAGAAAACCTCTAATAAGTCGGCTCCTACGCCATGCTTGTTAGGGAGGCAGTGGTTCATTTCCCCACCATCCGCAATAGGACCCTGGAACCCACAGGGGGAAACAGCTGGGATAGTTCTGGGTGTCATATGAAAGTGAACAATGAAATAACACAGCTCTAAAGTGTCAGAAAGCCTGAAGGATCTGTGAGCTGTTTAAACTACATTTGGGGGGGCTGTGGTAAAGCAGTGGCTAGCATGCTTGCTTGCTGGCAAGGCGGTCATAATGAATTCAGGTCTCCATTGAGGTGGGAGCTGTAAAATTACACCTTGTCTAAAGTTGGTTCTGGCAGGTAGAGGCAGGTACAAGGTAAAGTGCTGGGAAATAAAGGCAGCCTAAGTGATTTTGACCACATCACCCACCAAGTGCCGATTGGTCTAAAATATCGACCTAGCACTATATGCCTAACACACCTGAAGATCGGGGGTTAAAAGGGTCCTTGTGCAAGCCGAGGCAGCCGGCTTTACAGTGACCCCATCACCCCTTGAGTGTCGATCGGTCTAGGCAAATAAAGGGGCTAACAGCTTGTGCTCAGTGCACTCAAAGGTGTAGAAACATGGACATTTACTGTTACTGTTCCCTCAAAGTGGCAATTTCGAATCCGCATCCAGGCAGTATTTTGAAATTGACATCATGGCGGCCAGCCAGTAAATGAGATGAAGGTCATGGGTTTAAGGCAGAATTTAAAAAAAAAAAAAAAAAAAAAAAACTGACTTGGGCTCCAGGTTGACCAGAACTAAAATTGGTACCAGGAAAATGTCCCAGGAAGTATAAGCGGTTGGTGTAATGTAGACCAGATCACCTGTCAGATGCCGATTGATCTAAAAAAAAAAAAATAAAACTGCGGCCAGCACCCTTTTCTCGATATCCCAGAGACTTTGAATAGGTTGTTTACTTTTTCTTCTGATGTTGTTCTTGATGTTCTTCTCATATCATCACGAGTCAGCAGGTCCTTCACTGTACGTCGCTCTCATCACAGCATGACGTAATGTCTCTTTTTCTCTAGCCAGTGCTTCAGCCCTATGTACTTTCATAGCCAACGCATCTTCAGTGTCCATCATTCACCTTTGCTGAGATCTGCCAGTGCCTCATTTTTCAGAAACTGCATTCTCCAGCATCGCTCTCTCCATGTTACCAGTTAACATGACATTCAACATGGCCAAAATACCTCAGCTTTTGGGACAAGATGTTGTTTATAAGCCAGTTTTCCTCTATGCTGAAATCATGCAGGATGGCATTGTTTGTCATCTTTTTGGTCCATGGGATTCACAGAAGTTTCCAGAGGATGTCATTTCATCTCATATCATCATCATCATGTGCCCTGCAGACTGGCGGAGGCGTTCATGCATCTCCACAGATCATGATCCCTGGTTGCCTGGAACAGCTCTCTTGATGATATCCCTCCAAACCATCGTTTTAGCCCATCCAGCATCATCTTTCTTAGTCTGTCTCTACCCCCTTTTTCCACTAATCTTTCCAGTTGTCACAATGTTCTCCAATGTCTCTTCTCTCTTTGTGTGGCCATAAAACAGTGTTTGTCTCTTTCTTATCGTTGTATATAGAGATCTACTTTCATTAGCTTCTCTCGAGCAATTTCATCTCTTATACCTACAATAAACATTTCTGCTTCACTTCAACAGGACGTAGAGGTGTCTGGAGACAAAGATGACAGCAGACTCCTACACATCGTAGTCCACAAGCCGCAGTCATCGGTGCATGCCAAGCCTATCCCCATCCTGTCAGCCCGCTTTGTCTTTGATGACCACATCCGCTGCATGGCTGCCAAACAGAGGCTCATCAAGGGCAGGCAGAGAGCCAGGCAGCAGAAGATGTCCACCATTGAACGTCTGCTGGACATCTCGCAGACTGAGGAGCGTGGTCACTTCTCTCGATCTGGACCCATTCCTGGTTAGAATGTTTATGTTTGTATCACTTTTATTTGGTTTATGTTTGTATCACTTTCAGTTGGTTTATATTTGTATCACTTTCATTTGGTGTATGTTTGTATCATTTTCATTTGCTTTATATTTTTGAATCACTTTCATTTGGTTTATATTTCTACCACTTTCACTTTGGTGTATGTATCACTTTCATTTGGTTTATGCTTGTATCACTTTCATTTGGTTTATGCTTGTATCACTTTCATGTAGTTTATGTTTGTATCACTTTTATTTGGTTTATGTTTTTATCACTTTTATTTGGTTTATGTTTTTATCACTTTTATTTGGTTTATGATTGTATCACTTTCAGTTGGTGTATGTTTGTATCACTTTCATTTTGTTTATGTTTGTATCACTTTCATTTGGTTTATGCTTCTATCACTTTTGTTTGGTTTATGGGGTGCAGACGCGCTGAACCACACTCAATGTTGTACTGGGACCAGGGCTCATATTGGTCGAGACCTATCTGTGCCTCTCTCTGAGTTCGTCCTAGAAACAGGTTCCAAACCAGAGGGCTAACTAAGATAGGGGAAACAAAAAGTAAAGGTCCCTTTTCCAGGCTTTCAGGCATATAGGGCTAGACCTATATTTGTATAGACCAATTGGCACTTGGTGGGTGATGTGGTCAGCATCATGCCGGCCAACTTTACTTCCCAGGACTGCACCTGGTACCCACTCAATGCTGGGTCGACCTAGGAGTTAAAAAGTCTGGCTCCACCAGGGAGTGAACCCAAAAGACTAATATAAGTAGGATCACATTTTCTTTGAAGTCTAAGCTGCATCTACTTGAGAGGCAAGGAACCAACACTGTGTACGTAAATTAGTTACAGTCAAGGTCTCCTGATAGACTATCGAATTTCCAGTGTTACTGTCTAGTCTGTATCTCTAGCGTAGTTGGCTAAACCGGATTGCGCGGTGAGCGGGTGACGAACTCCTTATGGTCTGGGTTCACTCCTGGGTGTGGGCAGAAAAGCCACATTTCTCCCAGATTTACGGTATTTAAAATGGAATCAAGGCCAAAAGGTTGCAATATCCATAATACTGAGCCTAAGGGTTAACAACTCATGGCTTCTGGATACTATAACAAAACAAAAAACAAACAAACAAAACAGTATGTTCATTTTATCAGTTGTTTAAATATTACTGAATAATTTAATGATCTCATAGCATTCTTGTTTTCTAAATTCTAGCTTCTGTGTTTTCTTTTTCAGTAGCAGTTTTATAAATATTGCTGCATCAGAATCAAATGTTTTCTTTGCATTTTTTATTGTCTAAATTATAATGTTTATATATTTTTTATTGTCTAAATTATAATTTTTTATTTATTTTATTGTCTAAATTATAATGTTTATATATTTTTATTGTCTAAATTATAATGTTTATATATTTTTTATTGTCTAAATTATAATGTTTATATATTTTTTATTGTCTAAATTATAATTTTTTATTTATTTTATTGTCTAAATTATAATGTTTATATATTTTATTGTCTAAATTATAATTTTTATATATATTTTTTATTGTCTAAATTATAATGTTTATATATATTTTATTGTCTAAATTATAATTTTTATATATATTTTTTATTGTCTAAATTTTGTTTATATATTTATATTGTCTAAATTATAATTTTTTAATGTTTATATATTATTTTTACAGCATCAGTGTTTAAAAATTGAGTGCATAGGTCAGTGATCTCTTTAAGCCTAATTTTTGAAAATAAACTAAGGTAAATATATACAAAACTTCTTTGCTAATTTGTATAAAGACCGATGTTTTATTGAAACACGTGGTTCAGATAATATTTATTTAAAGACCCTAGACAGGTTATGTCTATAAAGTTGAACATTTCATATTTTTAACATTTGAAGCAGAACTTAAATGAAACTTTGATCTTTTACTAAACGTTTGAAATCTGACTTTAGATAGGATAACGTTATTTTAAAAAAAAAATTATTTTATTTAGTACTAACAATATTTGTTTTCTGTTTGCCACCAGGTCGTAGCCATCCAGTAAAAACAGACTCAAGAAAATCTGGCAGTAATGGCAGTACATCCTCTACGCTTGTCTCCTCAGGTTCTCCGTCTTCTGTTAGTTCTGCATCTCCGGCACCAACCACTTCAAATGTCAAATCATCCCGCAGAGTTACACCAGAACAGAGGAAGATCCTCCAAGCCAAGGCTGCACAACGAAGTAAGAGTCGACAGGAGCAGCAACAGCAAGCCGCTGGAGCAGTTGCTAAAGCTGTGGCCGTGCTAAGAGAGTCACCAGCAAGAGAGGGGATGGGGCTCGACAATCTTGATTCCTCATCAGTAGAATTAGGTGAGGATGCGACTTCAGCTATGGCATTTCAGTCTTTGAATCACAACTTGGGCAGTGAGATGGGGGCATCTGCTTCTTCTTCCTCATCCAGGTCTCAAATGAGATCTGCTCCTAACAGGTCTGGTGATAGCAACAACAGTACACTAGAGATTCCTATGGAAGACCTCTCCTTCAAGAATCATCTGAGGCAGTCGTCCAGTGATCGGGCGAGACCTAGTGGTCTGACACAAAGAGATATTTTCAGGTTGCAGCGCAGCTTGTCCCACAGTCCCAGTCGGAGTAGCAGCCTCAAACCACAGGAAGCAAATACCTCTTTGATCCTCGCCAGTAAAACAGAAGTAACGAGAAGACTGTCGGCCCCTGTGATGATCAACTCATCAAAGAAGAGCACTGTAACAAAAGTTTCAACTGCTACACAAGTGGGCCACCCACACAGCAATTCCTCTGACCCACAGTTCCTCAAGCCTGCAGGGTCAGGGAGTAATCTCCCGGTGCGGCGCCGGTTTTTATCGGGCCCAACCACAGCTACACTCAGATTAGTGGATACCCCAACCTTGACCCTGGCCTCGCTGAAGCTGGATCCTGTAGCCATAGGATCACAATTTCCACTACCTAAACTTCTACCTCCAGCAGATTCTCTTCCTGGGTTACAATCAAAGGAGCAAGCTTCAAACAACCCAACCATTGCTGACCAGAACCTGGGAGCCAGGCCTAAACTTGTTGCTTCAGTCTCTGCAGAGCTGCGACCAGAGTTTAAAGCCCCACCACAGGTTGCAGCTGTTGGCGCTGGTGCTCAGCCGGCAGTAAAAATGCCTCTGTATGGCTTACAGCAAATAACAGACCAGAAAAGAGCTGGCGCAGGAAAAGATGATGGCAAAACATCATCCAACAATGCTATTAGTCCTGAGACACCATCAAGTGATTCTGCTCTCTCCAGCGATGCAAGTATGATCAGCATCAGCAGCAAGGCTAGTGAGAGCAGCATGGATGTGGACTCGGACAACAATGCTGGCGGGCCCGTCATTGGACGAGGTGCAATTGCTGCTAGAGCAGTAGTGGATGCTGAGAAACCAGCCACAGCTTCACAACAGCTGACACAGCTGGCTCAGATGGTGCAGGAGCACTACCCGTACAAAGCCTCTGATCTGAAACATCATACAGGCTAGAACAGTGTTCTTCAACCTTTTTACACTAATGGACCCGCAAAATGGGAAAAATTGTTTTCCTACCACCTGACAGCTGGCACACACAAATATACTTCACAGAATTGGTAAATACCAGTTTATCCGATGTCACCAAATTAGTCTCCAGCAACTGCAGCATCTGCTGCTGCTTAGAAGCTAGAAAATCTGTGCAGCAGTGTATTGCTGGAATTCTGTAGCCGCTATATGATAGGGTTGACATTTTTAGCAGACCACCAGTATCACCATTTGAAGAACACTGGGCAAGAGGTAGCCCCTGTATGATGAAGTAGGCATTTTTTAGCAGACCACCTGTATCACCAGTTGAAGAACACTGGGCAAGAGGTAGCCGCTACATGATGGGGTAGACATTGTTAACAGACCACCAGTTGAAGAACACTGGGCAAAAGGATGCTGTTTGCTTTCCTCCCAGTTAACAAGATTTACGCATTTCATTATAATATCTGGAAGTCTTTCTTTTTTGGTCTTCATTTGATTTTCAAACAGTCGTACAACTGTTGTGAATATGTACACTTGTATACTAGTAGCTACAGGAAAACACTTGTGAGGTCTGGAAACTTTGTATATGCAATAACTAGAAAATCATGAGTACAGACCAATTAACAAGCTAGCCCACCACAGTTGGCTTGTGGTTGAACTGATACGACAGCACTTTATTTAGGCCTTTGTTTTGTATCATTTGTTGTTTGAACAATTATACAACTACTGCAGATATGAACACATGCACACTAGTATCTACAGGAGTACACTTGAAAGGTCTGCCGACCTTGTTTATGCAGTAACAGTGAAATCATGAGTACGGACAAGAAGCTTACCAAATTGGCAAGAAAATAGCACTTATCAACTCTTTCTCTTCAAACAACACATGATGTATGATTGGCTCTTTCTTCTGAATCCCAACCATCATGTCTTGAGTTATTATACTTTGTTTTTTAATTTGGTCAGAACATACAGAAGAATCCTGGTTTCGGAAGCGGTAAATTCCACTGTTTATTTTGCCTCATTGAAAGGCATGTACCGTTGATTTATTACAGTGGTTACTTAATTTTTTTTTTGTACATCAGCCGCCTGGCCTTCTGAGACTGAAAGAGATAGGGGAACTCTGGTGATATACAGGAGAATAGCTTCTTGAACTAAAGAAGGACCCTCTTGAACTAAAGAAGGACCCTCTTGAACTAAAGAAGGACCCTCTTGAACTAAAGAAGGACCCTCTTGAACTAAAGAAGGACCCTCTTGAACTAAAGAAGGACCCTCTTGAACTAAACAAGGACCCTCTTGAACTAAAGAAGGACCCTCTTGAACTAAAGAAGGACCTCTTGAACTAAAGAAGGACCCTCTTGAACTAAAGAAGGACCTCTTGAACTAAAGAAGGACCCTCTTGAACTAAAGAAGGACCCTCTTCCATGCCCTTAAGCATATAGTGCCAGACCTATATTTTATAGACTGATCACTACTCGCCTGATGATGTATCGCGCTGGCTGTCCAAATCAATATAAAGAGGATTGTTTTTATAGACTGATCACTACTCGCCTGATGATGTATCGCGCTGGCTGTCCAAATCAATATAAAGAGGACTGTTATTAAATTGCCTACATCTGAATTCAAACAGTAGTATTTGGAGATTGTGAAACTGCATTCACAACCTCTAAGCTACAGCCCTGACCACAGAGAAGGTACTTCAGAAATACTATTGCTTGTATTAACAGCAGAAGGAAGTTTATAGTTTATTTATGTTTAAACTTCCTGTCTTCTTCTTGATTGCAGAGTCAGATCTCCATGTTTCTTTCAATAAAATACTTTAGCGCATGTTAATGAAATCTGTTTTGCCCTGTCCTTAGTCTGAATATAATACATGTCCCTCTCCAGAGACGATAGGACAGGAGTAAACTGTCTGTGATTACTATCATATTATTAGTTGAAGTATTAGCCTTGTGAATACTTGTGTATGTCCAGGGATTATTCACAGACACAGTGTTGTGTACTTCGGCCATTTTAAACTTACATTTCTCTTGTGATTGGGATTGTAAAAGCTGCTGTGATGTTGTATATTTATAAAGAATATTTAGTGCACAGTGGACAGAAAGGGATTGATATTATGCAGAGCTTCACACTGACTGTACATTGTTTAAGAACTCTGATCAAACATGTTATTGACATAATGTGTGTGTATATACACAATAATGCACAGTTTCACCCATTGCACCCAAAGGTCATCATGTTCAGTGGCTGCAATTAAAATTATTCTGAAATTATTGTCTTCTTTGTCTGCTCTTTATACCCCCCATCCCATTGGAGCATAGCCTTTCAACCAACCTGTCCTTTCCTGTGCAGCACACTTTCCATCTCCTTCATCTTGTGCAGTCACCCTTATAGAGGCTGTTGGTACATAATTTTTCTTCATGCCACTATGTTAAACTATCTTCTCCATGTTTTCCTGTCTTTCTCTCCAGCTTTGCTGTTGTTATTTCAGTTTTCCTCTTATGACATGGTTAAAAGATTTGTTGGTTGTAGACTGCTAATACAGATAACCACTTTTATTTGAGATTGTGTTTCTTTTAACCCTTTCAGTCCCAAAAAACCTGTTGTGTGTTCATAGTTTCCATAGCTAGTTAATGGAGAGCTTTCTACCCAGTGAGCCTAGACCCCTTTCCACACAACATGGTCCATGGCATTTTGTTCCCTTGAGTCGACCTTAATACCTGTATCATTCATGTCCAGCTTGCACACATCTTTATACTGTAGTATAGGTCGGCTTTGACATCTTCTACTTGTCTTTAATTTCAACCCATGCTAGTTTCCTGGAAACAGCAGTTATCTCCATGGTCTTGTTTGACATAGTTGTAGTACATCAGTCATGGATTCAAGGCTCAGATTTTTATAAAACAATCGGCCCCTAAAGGATGATATAATCAGCATCACGCCAGCCACCTTTACTTCCCAAAACTTTAACTTGGCAGGGTCAAGTTGGGTTTTTCAGTCATCTACTGGTTGTTTTTGTTGTGAGCGCATTTTGTTATGCCAGGGTGCCAGGCTCGATTCCAGCTGCAGACCGTTTATCTTGCATTGGTTTTGACAGTGGCACTGAGAGCTGACTTTTCAGAAAACAGCGCCAAACTACTGAACGTAAAATGTGCCTAGAAAACTACAACAGCCAAAAGATGCTTAGGTTGGTTTTGCAATGTCTTGTAAAGGATATGCAACTAACTTTAACTGGTTCTTTATTTAGAATTGTTGAAAGGTTGTGCAAAATTACAGTTTGACTCGATGAAACCAAAACAGTTTCAGATATTGACGCTTGCAGAAGGCAGTTTTCTGGATATATAGTAAACATTATATCATGACTTCAGTATTTTACGAACTACAAATTTGTTTTTCTGGCACTGACATCCATAATGTAAGTGTATCTTATACTGAGAACTGATATTCAGTTTCTAGTGTTTGTATTTAAATTGTGTTTTCTTGCTGGTCTTAAAAAGAGGCCATATATATGGTGCCATGGAAATTTTATCGTTATCTAGCAACAGTGGATTCAACTTTACGAGAAATGTTATTGCTCATTCAAGGTTTTTGTTTGGTTACAGTGTATATTGGGCACTAACAATGTTATAAACCTGCGTGTAACCAGAGGGTCTGGCGCGGCTCACTACGCTCAGAGGAAAGACAAGACGGACATATAACCAGATTATGACTGGTACCACCAGTATTGGAACTCTGCACTGGCTGCAGACGATGAGGATGGAGCACACATGGGAGTGCCCCGAGTGCTGTGATGTCAATTCTTGACTCAACTCAACTTAACAATGTTGTAAGACGACTGTAGCATTTTGGGGAGGTGCATTTAGGGTAAATTACAAGTGATTGATACATATTCTTTTCCTGCTAAATTGAGGTGTGTCTTTTAATCCATGGTTTCATGTGTAGAATATGGTAATGCATGTATGAAGAAGAATCCAACAACTAACACATGATTATAAACCATATAGCTGCAAGCACATGCCAGCCCTCTAAGTTGCTTTTTTCAAACTTCCTGTGTCTTTTTTTTAAGAAAAACTCTATTGGGTTTTTGTATCAGTTTGTTAGTCTTTCCTCATGAACCTAGGGTGGTGCAGAGGTCATAGCTCTCCATGTCTGGCGGGTCGCTGCCACCTGTTTTAGGCCTTGGATGTTCATTTGGCCCATGGCTGAGCCTTCCCTGATGATGGTTCTACGCAAGGTCTCTCTTGGTCTTCCCCATTTTCTTTTTTCCTTCCGGTGTCAATATAAGGGCTTGATGGGGGAGTCAGGTCTTATCCATTCTGGGTGCATGGCGGATGTAGTCCTAGCAGCGCTTCTTATAAAATTCCAGTCTGGGTCAAGATGCTAAGACTGTTTCCCTCTAGGTTTTGTATTAAAGCATATTAAAGCTGCAATATACTTATATCCTTTTCTTCGGCATTCTGAGCCCCTAAGGCTCCTTATTGGAGATATCATCCACCGTCATTCATCTCTGTGATTGACCTTCTGTTTTTGATATCCTTGTATATCCGAGATGAAATAATAATACAAATCTGGCCTTTACTGCACATTGCCAACAAGAATTTTAGGCCTGGACTCCTCATCTGAACATTTCCTCCTGGCAGACGCCAGCATTTGCCATGATGATCATTTCAATAACAAACGTTAAAAATCTCTAGCCAAGTTTACGAGTCACAGTGGTTAGTGCACTAGTTCCCCGACTCGGTGGTTTTGGCTTCATGCTAGACTGGATTTTATTTTAACTGACCAGAAAGGTACCTTACCTTTCTTCTTCTTTCATTCGCTTGAAATAGATTATCTATATCTGCTGTGTTGTCTCTATTATGAACTTCACTGTCTTTTGTAATTGACTCAGCTACCCCAAAATGTTGGCTTGCACCGGTGTTTCAGTTGGCCAGAATTTTTGCCTTGTTATGTTTTGTTTGGAACAGTCTTGGAGGTCATGATCT